TAGCCTTCTCAGAATCAGGCTCTTCTCGTCTCCGTCAGAACTAGTCATCGTGCTCATTGGAAAACCTGGGGACATCCTCTCCTCACACCCGCTCTGCTCTGCTCCTTGGCCTCGTGCACATGGTGGGTGGGTGAGTAGCTTTGCTTGTAGCTTCTCCCACTCTCCACCTTTTCCCGCATGTGCTATGACCTGTCATTTTCGTTGCTTCGTGGGATTCAGATTCATCGTGCCGAGCGCACTCATAAACAGGTTCTGCATTTCGTCCCTCACTCTCTCCACACCACACGGAATCTCTTCCCCCTCTCCCCCCTTCTTCCTCTTGACCTTCCAGGTTGTGGCATGGCTCATCACAGCGCCATTCCTCACGTGGATTCTCTACCGCTTGCTACTGCCGCTCACCACGCGAATCAAGAGGCGAACGGGGGGTGTGGGAATTGGGTCGTCGTGGGAAGGTAGTGATGGTGGATCCATTAGCATTGACTCGGGAAGGGGGTACGGCGAAGCTAGTGCTTCTGGACGGAGGGAGTCGGGTGTAATGATGAGAAAGGCCTAGGTTGTTTCGTGATGACGATAAGAGTTTGTCTAGTAGGAACTAGAGGAACAAATCGTCTTGATTGTACAGCAGGCTTAGAGCCAGTGTACTTTGCACCTTTACCACAATGTTTGTAATACCGGTATCTCAAGACAAGTGCTACTGGACCCATATGCTACTGGACCACAAGTGGGGCTTATTCCATGGGCTGTGAAGCCGACCTCTACACACGTTGGTGTGTTAAAACCACAGGCTCTGCAGGTGTGCTATTCTAGCCTGTGGTTTTAAGTTACTGCCCTTGGTTTTCACTCGTATATTCCACTTTGTGGGAGTCTTTGTGAGATATGTCATCGTTTTTATAACGGGTCCAAAATAAGCTGTTCTGTACATGTTTTTTTCCCTGAGAAGAGAGACACCGCACTCTACCGCACCGTAATTCTTGCGACTTGCGGGTACCGCACCGTGTACTGTAACCAGGGGCCTTTTCGAATCTGGAGCACTGTTCTTGGGGTTACCTCGCCTCGCCACGTGTAAGGAATTTCCATTCCTTACTGAGTCGTACGCTAGCACGTACACCCGAACTCCTCGACTCGTCACGTTCGGCCTCATTTGTCGGCCCAACCCTTTCCCGCGCCGCGTCCGGCACTGTCGCCACATTGCCGAACCTACCCACGTTCCGAGGTTATCGCCCTAGCACGCTAACCCCTATGTAACCTCGTGCCTTCATTGCAATAGCGACTCACGTTATATTTCATTGACACTTCCTATATCATAACAGCTGGTATTAGAGCCAGACCTTTCCAGGAACCTTCCGTTTTCCCGTTCACTTAGTTAAAGCGAGAATGGAGAATAGTGAAGGCGGGCCCAACTTGAAAGGGGGGTTGTGTGGGATTTTTTCTAAGGGACCAAGCCTTATTGCGAGGGGGTTCAGGGTCACTGTTCCTTATTACCCCCGGGTAGGAGGGAAAACAGCTGCGGAGGTCAGCGATTGGTGCGCGGGAACAAAAACTGCAGCATCCAACCAGAAACACGGCTAAAGAATCCAGGTAGATAAGCGCGGCAGCGAAAGCATCGCATGAGGCGAGGAGCATTCACCTGCGATGGTAGGGCAGCCCGCACGTCTGTGCCTGTTTCAATTGGGTCCAACTCGATTTTCAAGTTGGACCTAGGTTCACAACTTGACGGTCAAAGGGCTGAGGGCACGCCACTCCACGCAGAGCGCCCTAGTGTAGAATGCGCATCATCCCCTCGTTGTAACTCGTGGCAGCAGCTTGCGCTGGTTGTGACGCGGCCCGACTCCCCGAACCAGCCCTAGAGTAAGTAGGCAAACAGGAAATATAGAATAGGTTCATAATGCCAGCGCAAGACACCACCTTTAGGCCGGTATCCCGAGCCCACAGCTAACAGGGTACATATATGGCGCCACATTTTTTCGGGCGGCAACCAGGCACGAAAGCCGTACCCCTCGAAAAGGGCTACTTGCGCCAATGCGTAAGGTAGGCGAAACTGAGAGTAGGCGCGCGGCATATGGCGGGTGTTGCCAAGCAGCCCTAGGTCGAGCTCCCCGGCGTGCAGGCTAGAATGGAGCTCGTTTTCACGAGCAGGCAAACACCGAGCTTGTGGGCACGAGCCGTCAGACGTTAGACCACGCGGCCATGCGAGAAGCGTAGCGCCGAGCGAGGTGTCGGGTAGCATAGCGCCGAGCGCAGCGGCGACCAGCTTTCCCTCGAGCGCGGGGGCGAGCAGTTTAGCTCCGAGGGCGATGGCGGGCAGCTTAGTGTCGGGCGCGGCAGCGAGCATCTCGGCGCCAAGCAGCTTAGCGCCGAGTGCGGCGGCGAGTGGCTCAGCGTCGAGCCCGGCTGCGAGGGGCTCAGCGCCGAGCGTGGCGGCGAGCGTCTCAGCGCCGAGAGCGGCGGCAAGCGGCTCAGCGCCGAGCGCGGCGGCGAGCGGCTCCGCGCCGAGCGCGGCGGGGAGCAGCTTTGCGCCGAGCACGGCGGCGAGCAGCGTTGCGGCGAGCGCGGCGGCAAGCGGCGTTGCGCCGAGCGCGGCTGCGAACGGCTGAGCGACATGTGGGCGGCGATCGGCTTGGCGATGGGAGAGAATGGGAGCGGGAGAGAAGGGGAGCGGGAGAGAAGGGGAGCCTAAGAGATAAGGGGAGAGGCGGAGAAGGGGAGCAGGAGAGAATGGCAGGAGGAGAGGATGTGAGCGAAAGAGAAGGGGAGGGGGAGAGAAGGGCAGCGGGAGAGAAGGGGAGCGGGAGAGAAGGGGAGCGGGAGATAAGGGGAGCCTAAGAGATAATGGGAGAGGCGGAGAAGGGGAGCAGGAGAGAATGGGAGCGAGAGAGAAGGGGGGAGAGAGAGAAGGGCAGCGGGAGAGAAGGGGAGAGGGAGATAAGGGAGCCTAAGAGATGAGGGGAGATGCAGAGAAGGGGAGCCGGAGAGAATGGGAGCGAGAGAGAAGGGAAGAGAGAGAGAGAAGGGCAGCGGGAGAGAAGGGGAGCTGGAGAGAAGGGGAGCCCTTTCCCCTTCCCCCTGCCCTCCTTTCCCCTTCCCCCTCCTCTCCTCTCCTACCCTCCTCTCCCTTTCCCCCTCCCCTCCTCTCCCTTTCCCCGTGCCCTCCACTCCCTTTCCCCCTGCCCTCCTCTCCCTTTCCCCTCCCCTCCTCTCCCTTTCCCCCTGCCCTCCTCTCCCTTTCCCCCTCCCCTCCTCTCCCTTTCCCCCTGCCCTCCACTCCCTTTCCCCCCTGCCCTCCACTCCCTTTCCCCCTGCCCCTCTCCCTTTCCCCTGCCCTCCACTCCCTTTCCCCCTGCCCTCCTCTCCCTTTCCCCCTGCCCTTCTCTCCCTTTCCCCCTGCCCCTCTCCCTTTCCCCCTGCCCTTCTCTCCCTTTCTCCTGCCCTTCTCTCCCTTTCACCCTGCCCTCCTCTCCCTTTCCCCCTCCCCTCCTCTCCCTTTCCCCCTGCCCTCCTCTCCCTTTCCCCCTCCCCTCCTCTCCCTTTCCCCCTGCCCTCCACTCCCTTCCCCCCTGCCCTCCTCTCCCTTTCCCCCTGCCCCTCTCCCTTTCCCCCTGCCCTCCACTCCCTTTCCCCCTGCCCTCCTCTCCCTTTCCCCTGTCCTTCTCTCCCTTTCCCCCTGCCCCTCTCCCTTTCCCCTGCCCTTCTCTCCCTTTCCCCCTGCCCTTCTCTCCCTTTTCCCCTGCCCTCCACTCCCTTTCCCCCCTATCCTCCTCTCCCTTTCTCCCTGCTATCCTCTCCCCTTCCCCCTGCCCTCCTCTCCCCTTTCTCCTGCCCTTCTCTCCCTTTCCCCCTGCCCTTCTCTCCCTTTCCCCCTGCCCTTCTCTCCCTTTCCCCCTGCCATCATCTCCATTTCCCCCTGCCCTTATCTCCCTTCCCCCTGTCCTTCTCTCTCTTTCCCCCTGCCCTTCTCTCCCTTTCTCCCTGCCATCCTCTCCCCTTCCCCCTGCCCTCCTCTCCCTTTCCCCCTGCCCTTCTCTCCCTTTCCCCCTGCCCTTCTCTCCCTTCCCCCCTTCCCTTCTCTCTCTTTCCCCCTGCCCTTCTCTCCCTTTCCCCCTGCCCTTCTCTCCCTTTCCCCCTGCCCTCCTCTCCATTTCCCCCTGCCCTCTTCTCCCTTTCCCCCTGCCCTTCTCTCTCTTTCCCCCTGCCCTCCTCTCAATTTAGCCCCCTCACCCCCGCACTTTTTTGCCGTATCCACCCCTCCCTTTCCTCCTGGCCTTCTCTCGCTGGATGTGCTTATTGGCTGGCGGGTGGGGAGGCTGGAGCTCCCGCGCCATCTCAAGATTAGGTTTAGTCGGCGGCGAGCAACGAGCCCATAGCGCGTGGCTCAAGGTGCAAGGCGTGTGGTCTCTCGATTCCGCGTCTTGCACGGGGACCTCGTTTTCTTTGCGCCTTATGTCACCCTGGTCACAGGGCAGCTTAGCGCCGAGCTCGTCTGCACGCGTGCCGCATGCGATGGCTAGCGCGACGAGGTAGAAGGCAAGCCCAGGAAGCCTAGCGCGACGAGTTTTTTGGGTTTCGTCAATTACGTCCGCAGGTTTATACCCAATATGGCTGGGTTATCTGCCCCGCTAACTGACCGACTCAAGGATCACGATTGTTTTTGGTTGGGAGAGAAGCAGCAAGCTGCATTTGACCCACTGAAGATGGCGCTCACGTCACCGCCCGTCCTTCGCATTGCCGATCCTGACTGTCCATATGAAGTCATCACCGATGCTAGCAAAATCGCCATCGGCGCAGTTCTTCTACAAGATTTTGGTGAAGGATTACAGCCCGTCGCCTACGAACCACGGAAGCTGCAGGGCACTGAGAAAAATTACACGGTACACGACAAGGAAATGTGGGCGATCGTCCACGCGTTCAAGACATGGCGATGCTACCTGACCAGCGCTGACGTCACTGTGCGAACCGACCACAAATCCCTCCAGTACCTGCGAGCCCAGCCGAATCGCAACCCGCGACAAATCCGACGGCTCGATTTCCTCGAGGCAAACTTTCACTACACCATCACCTACAAACGGGGCGCTAACAACATTGTCGATGACCTGACCCGACCCACTGCCCATACAACTGCCATACTAGTCACCCAGACCAGCCCACTCCTTACCAGACTATTCATCAATGGCTACAAGATTGACCCATTCTTCCGCTCCGCCATTCACCAACAGCATACCACCGCCACCGGACACTATTTTAATAAGCGCGACACTTCTCGCATCTGGGTTTCCGGCTACGATTTACTTCATACCCTTCTAATCCAGGAATCCCACGACAACCCTACCTCCAAGCATTACGGAGTCGACAAAACAATGAAGACGTTGCAGCACAATTATTACTGGTCGAACATGGCCGACGACGTGCGCAAGTGCGTGTCCTTCTGCACTGCTTGCCAGATCATGAAATCATCCCATCAGCGAGCAGCCGGACTCCTACAGCCGTTGGATCCGCCCGAGAGACCCTCGCAACACGTCACGATGGACTACGTGACAGGACTGCCGGCCAGTCCCAATGGAAACGACGCCATCCTCGTGGTTGTTGACCGAATCACTAAAATGGCGCACTTCATCGCCTGCCAGCAGAAAATTACAGCTGAGCAAACTGCCCAAATGTTCATCGCCAACGTCATCAGACTGCACGGACTGCCCACTGCCATTATTTCAGACCGAGACTCGAAATTCACATCGATTTTCTGGCACCACCTGTAGGACCAATTCGGCACCAAACTACAATTTTCCTCAACCTACCACCCACAAACTGACGGGCAGACCGAACGAGTCAACCAAACCATGGAGCAACTCATCCGGACTACCTGCAATGAACCACAGACATGGGAGAAATCCCTTCCACTGCTGGAATTCGTGTATAATAACGCGGCTTCTGCCACAACCCATCAATCCCCATTTTTTCCTAAATTACGGACAGGACCCTGTGGTACCCTCAACACCAAACATCGAGACACCAGTACCCCGGTCCTAGCGATTTGTCGAAGACATTCTCGCAGCCCGAGAAAAAGCAGCTGAGGCGATCCGGAAAGCCAACCTGGTCGCAAGCCGACAAGCCGATCGTAATCGACGTGACGTCACTTACAAAGTGGGTGCTCTCGTACTACTCGACACTCGCAAGTTGCGTCTGCCGATCCCGAGCAAACTCCTACCCCGATTCTGTGGCCCTTTTTTCAAGTGACCAATATGGTGACACCTGTCACAGCTCACCTCCGACTTTCGGCGGATTGGCGTCGCCACCCGGCTTCCCATGTCAGCCTATTATGACCCTACGTCCCCATTTCGTCGGATTTGGCATGTCAACGCATCCTACCACAATTGACGCCCCATGTAAGAACCGACGACTGAGCCCTTGAAGATTCTCCGCCATCGAGTCACAACACAGCAGAACCTTCGAATGGTAGATTTTCTCATCAGATGGCGCGATCGGACGTCTGAGGATGACAGCTGGGTGGTACTCAATGACATAGAATCACACCCGATTCTAACAACGTCGGAATGTTTCCGATGCCCGCGACCTCGTTTAGGAGGGGGGGGGGGAGAGAGGGTAGTGTAAGGAATTTCCATTCCTTACTGAGTCGTACGCTAGTGCCTACACCCGAACTCATCGACTCGTCACGTTCGGCCTCATTTATCGGCCCAAACCTTTCCCGCGCCACGTCCATCACTGTCGCCACATTGCCGAACCTACCCACGTTCCGAGGTTATCACCCTAGCATGCCAACCCCTATATATCCTCGTGCCTTCATTGCAATAACGACCTTGTATTCTCACGTTATATTTCATTGACACTTCCTATATCATAACACCACGCCACTATGCTCCATTCAATAACGCTTCGGGGAACATGTGCCTCGCTTCGCGAAATCTCGTGCCAGCAAGTGCGATCCAAGCAAAACCTCAACAGCGAATCTGGCTTTGCACGACTGACCGCGCCCGCAAGCATGTTTTACAAATGACACAAGCCAACTGCGGTGCCTCCTGGTGACACTTGAACGAGCGGCAGAACGACGGAAACCGCATAAAACCGTTTTAGCTGCATCTACACCGCCTGTCATCCCTTGTTTCCTAGCCACATTTCTCAAGTCTCCATTTGTCCCGAAAGCACCCGGCTTTCAGTCTTCGACTCATGTGTCAGAGCAGAGACAGCCAAGGTGTGAATCAAGATGACCTGATTCGCTCCCCGGCTGCGTTGCTATGCCTGCCAAGCCTTCTGGCGAGGTACGTTCAGAAACGAGCCAAAAGCTTCGTCGAAGCTGGGACTCTGGTTGGTGGTGCTGCGGTCCAGCACAACTTTGTTTCCCGCAAACCAGGTTTCAGGTTTTAGCGCCGAACCTGACGTTTTGCCTAGGGTAATGAAGAAATCCAAACCTACTACTGTTAGCTCCGTATCCAACAGGTTCGTTGTCTTGGCCTACGCGAGGGGAAGCCAACCAGGCCATATGCCCTGCGGGCTCGCGCTACCCACGCACACGCGCCCTGGTGCGAGGTGAACTGAACAGATGAGGAGTTCGCGGGTCCCTCCCCGCCACTACAGTACCCCAATTGCAGTCCCCCCGCCCCCCCCCACCCTTCATCCCCCCACCACTACAGTAATTACTGTACCACTTCCCCCAACTATCCCCAGCCCCTCCCCCCCCCCACCCCTTCCCCCACGCTTTTGTAAATGCTCCACCTCTCGAGAACAGCGTTCGCGCAAATTCTTCGCACACTGTGCACTTCCAACAGTCGCACGGTTCGTTACGACATTGCTGGTCCCCGTCGCCTGTCCCACCAAGTCGTACACCCCCGTCGCCAAATCCTTCACTGCAGTCGCATACTCGAGCCCTTTTTCCACCTCATAGCAAGCGCTGTGTGTAGCGTGGGACGTTTTTTATTACCTCTGCTGCTCCCCTTACCCCTTCATTACCTACGCTATCTAATCCCTCCGATCGTTGCTGACCTTGCCCTCGCCCTCCGCTTCTCCCGCCGTCTTCTCCGCCTTCCTCGCGCTGAGGTGATGCCTTTCGCGCCCCGCGGCGAAACCCGAACATTCGCGACTACGCTACCAGCATGCTTTAGCGGCTTCAAGCATTGAGCTTTTGACCGAGCGGCACTGCCGCGTAATCAGCTGCAGCAGCAGCACGTTTCATCGCAAAGAGCAGGGATCCGCGCGTCCGTGCGCTTTCTCGTCGAATTCCGCAACGAACGCTTTGCCTCCAAGAGAGCCGCGCGTCGTCGGTCAACTTTCAGCCGTCGAATCGAATCAACGGCAGCCGTAGCACGGCCAGTTATCAGCTTCTTTAGAGATCGTTTCAGCGACAACGCTCCTCTCGCGCGTCGTCTCGTCGACTCTCACGCGCATTGGTCACTCCTTGTATTTTGCTTCTCGCGTCGCTTCTCGTTCCCCAGCCGGACTCCAGCTCCGTAGATCTCACCTCCTACAACGGTCCCTTCAAAAGGTCCCTGTACCGACTTCCACCGCTTCCAACTCCACTCGAAAGAATCATCCCAAGTCCCTTTCGCCACTGTTCCAAGTTTCTGAGCGACTTACTGACGGTTTCTGACCTGTTTTGACCCAGCAGTAGCATTGCCGTACGAGCGCCTGATTCCGCGCTGCAGCTTCCTGTTTTAACGCCGCACCTCGCGCCGCAGTTTCCGCCGCAGTTTCCGCCGCAGTTTAGCGCCGCAGCTCCCGCCGCAACTCCCAACCTGACCGTCTACAACCTCATCTGTTAGCGTCTCAGCCGTGTCCGTAGCGCTATTTCTGAAAGCGCGCAGCCGTGGCTACGGCAACTATGGACGCCTGCGAAGTAGCGACGCCCGTTCTCCCCATGGATCAGCTAGGAGGCTCCGGCGGCGGCGGCGGCGGCGGCGGCGGAGGTAGCGGAGGTAGCGGAGGCGGTGGCGGCGGTGGCGGCGCCAGTGGAGGAGGAGGGGGGAGTGGTGGTATTGGGGGGAGCGGGAGCAGAGGCGGGAGTAGCGGCGGGGAGGAGGAGCGCGTAGTGCGGCGCGTGGTGGTGTGCGAGGAGTTAAGATGGGGTCAGAAGAAGCGATTAAGATACGTGCGCAACCCGACTGCGGCAGCAACCGCAGCAGCGGCAGCCGCAGCGCCGGCAGCGGCGAGTAATAACTCGTCCCCGGCGGCAGCAACAGCAGCAGCAGCCGCGGGGGAGAGAACGGCGTCGCCTGGCGCTCGGCCGCGGAATTCGGACGACGCGCAGCGCGCAACTCAGGCCGGAGGCGGAAGTGGCGGAAGGGGCGGAGGCGCATCGTCGCTGAAGGACGTGTCGCCTGGCGGCGCCGCGCACGACTGGGAGCCCAAAAAGTCTCGCAAGAACGGCGAGACGGCCACTCCCGCATCCAACGCCGCAAGAGGCGGCGACGACGGCGGCGGAGGAGGCGGCGGCGGTGCTGATCGGGTGGATAGTCGCTTCGGCGGCGGCGTTCGCGCCGGCGCGGGCGCGGGGAGGAGCCGGAGCGGAAGCGGAAGCGGGAGCGGAACCGGGAACGGGAATGGAAGCGGTAGCGGAAACAGAAGCGGAAGCGGAAGCGGAGAGGGGAGTAGGAGCGGGGATAGTAGCAGCGGCGGAGGCGCCGAGGACGAGGATGAGAAGAGCGTCGCGGAGGGGTCGCACGGTAACTCCGCGTCTTTGGCGGCGCCGCACGTGAATAAGAGGTGAGCGCGCTTCACCAGATCCCGCTCCCCCCTTCCTCCCCCCTCCTCCCCTCCCCTCCTCCCCTCCCCCCCGCCCCATTCTCCCGCAAGCTCCGCTGCTGTTTCCGCTTCGCTTCTTCCGCTTCGCTTCTTCCGCTTCGCTTCTTCCGCTTCGCCTCTTGCGCGCTCTCCCGCCCTGTCTCCACGGAGTAGTCCATCCCCATTCCCACATGTCCTTTCCGTTCTCATTCCATCGCCGAAGGCCCCGCCTGTCCTCTCCGCCTTCACTTACTCTCACCGCGCAGCTTCCCCTCATCCGTATTCCCCTCCCCCCACCCCTCCCCCCGCCCCCGCCCCCGCCGCCCTTCCGCATCCGCTCCCCTTTCTCCGCCCCTCCCGCGGATCTTCCGCCATCAGGCACAAGGACTCCGCCAACGGCGCGTTAACCCCCCCGCTTCCCCGCGCAAGCGCCGCCGCCCACAACGAGAGAGATACCGCGGTAACGAGAGACGGTTGCCGACTGAAGGGGAGCGGGGAGAGGGGGGGGAGGGGGGAGAAGGTCGAGAGAGGGGAGAGGGGTGAGAGGGGGGAAAGAGGAGAGAAGGGGGGGAACGCGGCGGGTGCAGCGGAAAAGGGCGCTAAGGGCGCATCGGAAAAGGCGGGTGGGTCGGGGGGAGCGGCGGCGGCGGCGGCGGCGGCGCAGGGAGAGGGAAACAGCATCGCGAGTCGCGCCGGCACTCGAGTCGCGAGTACCAGCAACGCGTCACACGGGTCGCACGCGTCGCACGAGGGAGAGCCCGACGTCGTCGCACCCAGGCAGTCGCAGCACCCCGCGAACCTTAGGCGGAGGCACGCGGCGGCTGCGGCGGGGGAAGGCGCGTCCGGATCGGGCGCGCACGGGGGAGCTAACGGGGTCGCGGCGGGCGGAACCGGCGGAACGGGCGCGGGGACCCGCGCCGCCGCTGCCGCCGCCGCAGCAGCAGCAGCGGCGGCGGCGGCGGCGCAAGGAAATGAGGAGTTAAGAGACGGTCGGGGCGGAGCGTCCGCCGCATTAGACGGGCATAGCCATGGGCACGGACTGGGGCACGGGCACGGGCATGGGCACGGGCACGGGCACGGGCAGGGGCATAATGGCATGAAATTAGAAGGGAAACTGACTTCGCAACAGCCGGGGCAGCACCACCCCCACAACCATCACCACCACCACCATACCAACGACAGCCACAAGAGCCACAGTAACAACCAGAGTAATCACCTTACCATGGACTTGCGGCATCATCCCCACCCCCATTCCCATCATCCCCATTCCCATACCCACCCCCATCCCCACCATCCCCACCATCCGCACAACGCGCCCCCACCTTCCGCCGCCGCGTTCGGCGCGCACCACGCGGGCGCGGGCGGGGGGGCGGGCGGAAGCGCGGAGCCCGCGGAGGTTCCGCGGTTCCTGCTGAGCCTGTCGCGGAGCGAGAAGGAGGACGACTTTTGGGCGATCAAAGGGGGGAAGCTGCCACAGCGGCCAAAGAAGCGGTCGAAACTAGTGGAGAAGGGGCTGCAGGTGAGAGGATCTGAAGAGGGGGAGGGGGAAGGGAGGGGGAGGAGAGGGGGAAGGGAGAAGGGAGAGGAAGGGAGTGGAAGGGAGGAGGGGAGGGGGCAAAAAGGGGGTGTGTGGGGGGGTGTGGGGGGGTGTGGGGGGGTGTGATAGGAGATGCAGTTGAAAGAGTGTGAATGGGGAGGGGAGTGCTAGTGGATTGGGCGGTTGTGTTAGGACCGTGAGGATTTGGCTGTTTGCCTCTTCCACCATTTCCCATTCCCATTTTCAACATACAAGCACCCTTCCTCACCACACCTCTTCCATTCCCTTCCCCCCCCCCCCTCCAACCACACGCCCCCATCTGTCTTCCCCTCCAGCCTCTGCCCGCCGGTTCGGGAAGTTGGTTTCTGAGAATTCTCAACAACCGGCTGATGCCTGTGATGCCTGTGATGCTTGTGAGCCTGTGAGCCTGGAGCCATACGAGGCCCTTTAGGCGCCTCAAAACTCACTTGTTCCCCCCGCCTCCCGCCCCCCGCCCGACCAGCGTCTGCTCCCCGGTGCGTGGCTGACGGGTGTAAGTCGGGAGCGGTACGAGGTCCGAGAGAGGAAGTGCACCAAGAAGGTTCGAACCTCGCGCTTGCTTCTGCTCTGCCCCTCTCGCTCACCCCTCTCGACCTACTCGCCTCGCCCCTGCCTGTTCTCTCACCCACGTGCTCCTCCTCCTCCTCCTCCTCCTCCTCCTCCTCTCTCCACATGCTCGTCTCTCCCTGTTGTTGCCGTTGCATACACCTTGAGCCGACCCAATTTGGCACATGAACACGTTGGTCCAAGGTTGTTCCTTGTCATGGTTCGGCCCCAATGTACCACCATGCGCATTGCTGCACACTGCACGCATGCACTGCGCGCTCGCAATGCTGCGCGCTGCCTCCACATGCATACCCACAATCCTCCCTTGGCGGTCCTTTCTTGCACTCCGTCCCGTGGCATCCTGGCCTTCCCCTGCATGCTCTGCAGAAGCCGCGGGGCCTCAAGGCGATGAATGGGGCAGAGAGCGACAGCGACTGAGCAGTTGAGCGGGTGAGCGACTGACCTTGAGCTGTCAAGTGGTTGTGTGGGTGAGCAACAGCAACACACTCGGCTTGACTGAGCGCAGCTGGCAGGCAGGTCGCACCGCACACGCGACGGAGAGGCGAGTGCAATATGAAGGAAGAGCACAGCTCTTCGAGACAGAAGCAGCAGCAGAAGCCGAAGCAGAAGCAGAAGCAGAGCCAATTTGTGCTCCTCCCAGCTGGCTGGTCATTGCAGCAGCAGCAGCAGCAGCAGCAGCAGCAGCAGCAGCAGCAGCAGCAGCCATCTTCCGTCTGGTGATCTGAGAGGCCTCACGAGTCTTTCCTGTCTCTGACCAGTCCCACCCCTTCGTTCTCACCAGTCAGAGTCGAGGTGCAGGAGGTCCTTTGGAGGCGACTCAAGAGGCGAGTTGCACGAAAGAGACCCGGTGTGACGGCAAGGCAGCCATCGAAGGGGTGGGACTGATCAGATCAGAGCCCACCGTTGTGGCAGCGGCGGCGTCAGCAGTGGGAAAAGCAGCCGCAGCAGCAGCAACAGCAGTACCAGCAGGAGCAGGCTGCAGGAGCAAGAGCAGGAGGCACTATGTTCGCCCCACTTTGAACTCGCTGTAAGAAACAAGACATGTCGCCTTTCTGCGAGGGTGAGAGGAAGGCAAGCCATTTCACTTCATGTGGTTTCTTCCATGATGCGCCACCCACTCAGAAAGGCGGAAGACGGGCTGTGTGGCAACCGCATTGGAACGGATTTGATGTAGCTTCATGTCGTTTGATGTTTGTTGTCTATATTGCTTAGCTCTGTAAAGGAGATACCGGAATTGATCCTTCTCGTATGACTTTCTTCAAGCCCATTCGTTACCATGGTAGAACCATTTGGAGAGAGAAAAGGATAAAGATTTAAAGGAGTATAGCACGCTGGAGCTACACCACATCATCACATATCAATGTACTGTTTTCAGTAAATCAAAGACTGTACCATGGAGCTGGGATTCACTCATCCCCCCTCCCCGTCATCGGTTCTGTTCCCTCCCTCCCAAGCCTCCCGCTGATGTGCAACCACAGCCATCGAATAGACGCTTCCCGCCAGATTGACGGTGTCGATGAAGCTGCGACTCTCAAGCTTCCGTGACGTCACGTCACGCAGGGTTGTTCTTGTGAGTGTCACAAGAGTTTACTATGTTGCGGTTTGGTGAGGTTCTTTGCGCTCTAGAGCTATTCATCAATAATCGAGAATGGTTGAGTACGGTTTTTGGCGGAAAACAAGGTGTGCATCTTTCTGCTTAGTGTGTCCCAAGGGCAGAGCGAAGCAAGTATGCAGTGGTCAGGGCGTGTCCAGCGCGTACGTTTTTGTCAAAACCCTACCCAACCGTTTTAGATTTGTTATCGATTCTTCTGAAACGTGAGGCAACTCACCCAGCCGTAATCAGACGTACGCGCTGGACACACCCTCAGTGGTGCTCATGTGTACGTAGTCCATGCCACTGGTGGTGAGGGCGTGTCCAGCGCGTACGTTTGATTGCGGTTGGGTGAGGTGCCTCATGGATCAGAAGGATCAATAACGAATCTAGAACGGCAGGGGCGACACTTGCCCTGCACTCCCAACCTAAGGACCTTCAAATCTGTGTGTTAGTTACCGCCTCTCTTGTACCAATCACGGATCTCGGAGCTCACACTAGACCTCCGTCGCTTCGCAGATTCCTTAGTAAACCTGGTTTCCACACATATTTTGACTACAAGCGTAGCTGTCGACGTGGATCCATGCGTTTCACTAACCATCGCATCATCGATCGAGCATAGGCGTCTCCAATCCCATCCGACGGCTCTTCTGAACAGCGAGGATTCTCAGGATCGGATGATCCGTTAATCTGAGGCGAAGTTGCTGCTCGTGTTACTCACACTGCGATATTGATACGCGAGTTGCATCTTCGGAATAGCGTGCCTTGTGCCAAAGACCCTGACCTGACTGATTCCGACCTCCTCTGACCTCCTCTGATTCGAACTTCCTTTGATTCAGACCACTCTGATTCAAACGCCGTCTCCAATTCAGACCTTTTTGAGTCAATCGTCTCTGATTCAGACCTTCCGCATTTAGTCGGCTTTGATTCAGGGCCTTTTGACAAGTCGTCGATGCGAGGGTGATCTGGTTCTCTCCTTAACTTTCAGGTACATCTCCTTTCCTGGTAGATCTCCTCTTTCTCACTCTCCTCTTCTCTTGTTTCCTTCCCCCCGTGTTTCCCACCCCTCTTCGCCTCCTTGGGTCCTCCTTCCTCCTAAGCGGTCGTTCCTTGATCGATCGCACCTCAGCTTATCCGAAATTCGCACTAGGTAGGATTCATGCGAACCCGTCTTCCCACACCTTTGCTTGTACTCGATTTTGTTTTCTTCCTCTTCGTTTGTTTCCTTCAGCATCAACCACAGCAGCAGCAGCAGAGCGACCCGAGTTCCGTCGGTTTCATTTGATAGCAACCAACTCGGGTCGATTTGAGAGCTGCGCTATGGACGGCAACAGGGAAGCGGGGGAGCGATGCGTGGAAGTGGCACGCGCTGCTCTAGCTGCTGGCGATAGAGAGAGGGCGCTTAGATTCCTACAGAAGGCACAGCGAATCTACCCCTCACCGGAGGTAAGGCTGGCTGGTACTAGGAATGAAAGAGATGGGGTGTAATTCAACGGATAGGGGGGGGTTGATACATGCGATGGGATCTACCGGGTTGGCTGGGATTTTTTGCGGATATATTACCCTCTCATCCCCTCCCATTCCCCCTGCCACACTCCCCCCCCCTTCCCTTCCCCCTCTTCCGCCGAATTCCCCTCTTCGCCCTCACCCACTCTGTAATGCTCCTCTCGAGTTCGCGGCACGGCGCTATCAGTTACTCCCTAAGAGATTCTTTTCCCAAAGACTTTTTAAGTAACCGCTTTCTTTCCATGGGAACCACTCTCCTTTCCCCCACCCTTTTCACACCCCCACACCCTCTCTACCCCCATTCCTCCCATACTCGATCCCCCCGTTTCTTGCCTTTCCTCCGCTACCGCTTCCTCCCCCCTTCCCCCTTCCTTCCGCATCCCTTGCAGGTCGCGGCGTTGCTAGCGCGGGTGGCGGGCTCCCACGCGGAGAAAGGGGGGGAGGCGGAGAGCGCGGGGGGGGCGGGCGGGGGGGGCGCGGCCAGGGACGCGGAAGGCTCTGGGGAAGGGGGAAGGCGCGAGGGGGCGGGTGCGGGGCCGAGCAGCAGAGCGGGGGGGGAGCAGGGGGCAGCGGATGCCTCGCGGACGAGACAACGGAGCAAAGGACAGAGCTCGAGAGAGGCAGAGGTGGGATTGGTAGAGGGGTAGAGGTGGGAGGCGAGAGGGGGGTAGAGGTGGGAGGTGAGAGGGGGGAAAGGTGGGAGGTGAGAGCGAGGGGTGGGAGATGAAAGCGGCGTGAGAGTGCGATTGGGGGCTCCCTCCACCGACCCATAGTTGTGTTTAGCAGTTATGGAACGCGCATCCTTCGCACGTCGTGCTTCTACGAGGTGCTGGAGCTGCCCCCCCCCCCCCCATTCCTCCCTTTCCCCCCCTCTCCCTCCACCCCCTTCTCCTCTCTCCCCTCTTCCCTCCTCCTCCCCGTTGCACTGTCCCCTCGCTCGTGTGTCGCGTGCGTGTGCGCCTCATGTCGCATGCAGGAGTGCCCAGAGGTGGCGACCAGGGCACGGTGTTCTCTTCCGTCAAGCAAATATCTCCTGCTTCCTTGGGCGCAAAGTCTCCAGGATTAGGGATTTTGTGACCAGGAAGCAGGAGAAGTGCTCGAAGAAGAAGTACTCCTTGTTCGCCTCTGGCCAGTCCTGCATGCGACATATGAGTCACAGGGCGCGAGAGGTGTTGTGAGTGCACCCCCGTAGCCACCCGCGTTCACTCCCGTTGCATGGTGAGCAGGCACTGCCAAGTTCCAACGACGGCGGAGCAGGCGCAGCTGGTGGCGTGCAGTCGTGCTGCTACGAGGTGATGGAGCTGCCTCAATACCCCCCTCCCCATCCCCCACCCCCGCCCCCCCGCTTGCTGTTCTCTCCACGACCACCCGTCCATGTGTTCATTTTTGTGCCTGTGGCAGGCAGGGCGAGCAGGCAGCGCCAGCTTCGGCGGAACAGGCGCAGCTGGTGGCGGGCAGTCGTGCTGCTAAGAGGCGCGGGAGCTGCCTCAATACCCCCCCCCCTCCCTTGCTGTTCTTTCCACAACCACCCGTCCATTTGTTCATTTTTGTGCGTGTGGCAGGGCGAGCAGGCAGCGCGAGCGTCGGCGAAGCAGATTTTTTAAGTCGACTAAAAAAACCCCCCGCTTGCTGTTCTTTCCACAACCACCCGTCCATGTGCCCAAATATGTGCATGTGGCAGGGCGAGCAGGAAGCGCCAGCGTCGGCGGAGCAGGTGCAGCTGGTGGCGCGCATCCTGCGCACAACGTGCTACTACGAGGTGCTGGAGCTGCCTAAGGGGGCCGCGGAGGACGAGGTCAAGAAGGCCTACCGCAAGGTGTGTGTGGAAGGGAAGGGGAGGGGGGAGCGGGGGAGGGGGGCACGCTAGGGTGGGCTTGGAGGGATGGGGTGCGGTGGGGTGGGGTGGGATGGGGTGTTCCTACGAGGTGCTGGAGCTGCCGAAGGGGCGGCGGAGGACGAGGTAAAAAAGGCCTACCGCAAGGTAGAGGGGGGATTTTGGGGTGTGAGGTGGGGGGGTGGATGAGGGAGCAGTGGGTTGGGGGGAAGGGGGGGGGGATGAGGGAGCGGTGGGTTGGGGGGACGGGAGGGAGGATCTAGGGGTGGGGGGGGGGGGATGAGGGAGCGGTGGGTTGGGGGGAAAGGGGGGGGGGGGGGGGTTAGGGATGAGGGATTTAGGGATGAGGTGGGGGGGGAGGAGGGAGCAGGGGCGGGAGGGGGAGGGGGTGGGGATGGCAGGGTGCTGAGCGTGGGGTTTGCTGTACTGGTGGTTAACGCTGGGGTGTTTGGAGAGGGAAAGAGGGCGGCTACGGAGGGGGAGGAGGCGAGGGAGGGGAGTGGAAGTCGAGGTAGCGAAAAAGGGCCTGGAAGGCTCTGCGGGTGTAATCTGGAGTAAGGGATACTTTTTTTTTTTTTCTGCGTCGCGTTTCTCTACTCCCCTCCCTTGCTCCCTCTTCTCCCTTCGTCATACTGCCCCTTTCTGGTACAAATTTGATCGCTGCTGAGGTGTTCATCATGCTCTTCGCCCTGCATTCCCACTCTCCCTTCCCTCTTTCTGTCCACCCTCTCCCCTCTCTTCTCTCCCCTCTCCCTCTCCCCTCTCTCCCCTCCCCTCTCCCCTCTCTCTTCTCCCCTCTTCCCCCCTCCCCCTCTCCCTGTGCCATCAGCTATCGCTGAAGGTGCATCCAGATAAGAACAAAGCCAAGGGCGCAGAAGAGGCGTTCAAAGGTAAGGAATGGCTATGCGGACAAGGAGTGGTTATGGGGACGGAATGGCTATGGGGACAAGGAGTGGTTTTGGGTGCAAGGGATGGCTATGGGGACAAGGAGTGGTTATGGGGACAAGGAGTGGTTATGGGGACAAGTCAGTTTATAGTGCGCCGCGCAAGCAAAGTACCATCGGTGGGGGCATGACACGAGGCCCTCAGCACCTCTCAAACCACCCTTCCCATGTTCCCACCTCTCCATCCACGCGGTAGTATCTCGGAGCTTTAAGAAGTGTTGACGTGTGCTGACCTCCGGGCCAACTACAACCAGTACGGGCACAAGGACCCCCAGCACCTGCACCTCTCAAATGACTGCTCTTGATCTGCATCCTTCCACTCCCCTCCCCCCCCCCCCCTCCTCCCTCGTATCCCCCTCCCCCCCACTCTTCCTGCAGTGGTATCCCGGGCATTCAAGTGTCTGACAGACGCTGGCCTCCGCGCCAGCTACGACTGGTATGGGCGCGATGAGGACCCACAGCACCTGCACCTAAAACCACGGGTTGTATGCCCCTCCCCCCAACACCCCCACCACCATTTCCACAGTGGTATCCCGAGCCTTCAAGTGCCTGACTGATCCAGACCTCCGCGCCAACTACGACCGGTATGGGCACGAAGACCCGCAGCACCTGCTGCGGCAGCGGCAGCAGCAGAGGCAGCGGCAGCAGTATGCGGGCGGAATGGGCCCGCGCATGTACACGTCCTTCTTTGAGGATGACGACTTCGACCCGAACGATATCTTCAACGCCTTCTTCGGCGTGCATCCTGCGCATGGTGGGTGCCCTTCTTAGGTGCCTTCATTGGGGGCCCGCGCATGGTGCATGCCTCTTTATCGAGATGCAGTGTGCCTAGCATGTGCCATGTGCGGAACGGGGCTGCGCATGTACACGTCCTCTTCGAAGACGACGATTTTGATCCGAATGACATCTTCAACGCCTTCTTCGGCGTGCATCCCGCACCTGGTAGGTGCTCTTTGAGGGGCATTGGGAGAGGGGGGGGTGGGGTGGGGGCGCTTACGGTAGGTGCCTTTCGAGGGGCCTTATAACGGATGTACACGTCCTTATTTGAGGACGACGACTTAGACCCCAGCGATATCTTCAACGCCTACTTCGTCGTGCTTCCTGCTCATGGTATGTGCTGCATGCATGCACCCCGCCCCGCATACAGTATGTTCTCGTAATATCAGCACCTCTTTATACCTCGTCCCCCCCCTCCCCCTCTCTCCCCCCCCTCCTCCTCTCCCCTCCCGCCTTCCTCTCCCCTCCCGCCTTCCTCTCCCCCCTCCTTTTCCTATGGCCCAAGCCTTCCGAGCGCACATGCACCAGCAGAGAATGCATTGGCTCGCCGGCAGCAGCAGCACCACCAGCACCACAACCAGCAGGACGGGCAGGCGCGGCCGTCGGTGAACCCCATCTTCCTCATGCAGCTGCTGCCCCTCGTGCTCCTCATAGCCTATAACAACCTCCTGCTCTTATTATCTCCCCTGCCTCCCCTCTCCCCTTTCCTCTCCCCCTCCCCCCTTTCCTCTTCCCCTCTCCCGTTTCTCCTCTCCCTGCAGCCCAAGCATTCCGAGCGCATATGCACCAGCAGAGGATGCACAGGCGGCAGCACCACCAGCACAACAACCAGCAGGACGGGCAGGCGCGGCCGTCAGTGAACCCCATCTTCCTCATGCAGCTGCTGCCTCTCGTGCTCTTCATCGCCTACAACCTCCTGCCGTCCCCCGAGGCGCTGTACCGGCTGCGCCGGGACGACGTGTACTCAGAGGAGCAGGTCACCAAGTGAGTGTGTGTGCTGCGTGGTCCCGAGCCCGGAGGTGCCTCCAAACTGTACCGGCTACGCAGGGGTGACGTGTACTCAGAGGAACACGTCACCAATTGAGTGTGTGTGCTGCCATAGACCATGGTCTCAGGGATGTTTTTGGTGATGTTCCTTGTGCTCTTCTCTCTCGTGCTGTTCCCAGCTGTTACATTCACCTTCTCCTGCTGAAATGTTTGAAGGCTGGTAATGGTGCTACTCCCTTTCCCCTTCCGCTTCAACCTCCGCCCCCCTAGGGCGTGCGCTCCAGCTGTCCAAGCCCATATGTGTTAACACCGCCTGCTCCCCCGTCTCCCCACTCCCCTTTTCCCCAATGGCCTGCGCTTCCCCAACTTGCTTTCGCTCCCCAGAACCCCCCCTAGACGCCCTTCCAGTGCCCTCCTACCCCTGTGTGCAGGATCCTCTCGGTGCCCTACTTTGTGAAACGCAACACGGCCCAGATTTTGCCTTGGGGGTTCGAGTATGGTGTCTCTAAAGCGGATTCGGCTTGTGTCTTGCTGCATCTGCGTGTGTGCAGGATCCTCTCGGTGCCCTACTTTGTGAAGCGCGACCCTGACTTTGCCACGACGTACCCTGCGGGGTCGAAGGAGCGGATGAAGATAGAGAACAACGTGGAGGCAGACCACAGGTGAGAGAGAGAGAGAGAGAGAGAGAGAGAGAGAGAGAGAGAGAGAGAGAGAGAGAGAGAGAGAGAGAGAGAGAGAGAGAGAGAGAGAGAGAGAGAGAGAGAGAGAGAGAGAGGAGAGAGAGAGAGAGAGAGAGAGAGAGGAGAGAGAGAGAGAGAGAGAGAGAGAGAGAGAGAGAGAGAGAGAGAGAGAGAGAGAGAGAGAGAGAGAGAGGAGAGAGAGAGAGAGAGAGAGAGAGAGAGAGAGAGAGGAGAGAGAGAGAGAGAGAGAGAGAGAGAGAGAGAGAGAGAGAGAGAGAGAGAGAGAGAGAGAGAGAGAGAGAGAGAGAGAGAGAGAGAGAGAGAGAGAGGACACCCTCGTGCTTGAATTATACTCATAACAAAACTACGTACATAGCGCATGAAGAGAGAGAACGAAGGACAGGGGAGGGACTCCCCCCCTCATGCTTGTTGCCTTGGGGTTTGAGAGTCTGGGTCTTGACCCCCCTTCGCCCACCATTTGCTGCTCGTTTCTTTCTCTCTATCTGTGATGGGCCAGCGTGTTTCTTGATTTACCCTTTCAGGCATGTTTCTGGCCTCCTTCCATGCCTCTACCCATTTCCAGTCTAATTTGCTTCCCTCTGCCCATTTCTTCATCTCTGTGTCCTGGTTGGCAGGGAGCGTGTGGAGACCATGTGTCATAATGAGCGAATGCAGCAGGCACACTTCTACAAGTGGGGCCAGGTGCAAAGAGCGCGTGCCATGCACATGCCAAATTGTGAGGAGCTCAAGCGCATACGCACCTTCATATTTGGCTGATTGCAGTTACCAGTTGAGGTGTCGTGTGGCTTGGCTTGTGTAATATCCGGTCCGGGATGCCTCGTCTCGCTAGTGGAAAATAATGACAGGTGTGCACCACAATGTTAGCCGACAAATCAGGATTATCCTACTATATCTCACCTCGCTTGCAAAGCTATTTTGTAACGTTAGGTATTGTATCGGAATTCGAGGTGTAATCTGCGTGCCTTGACGACTCGGAGCAGCAATAAACGGGTACGAGTCCTTGTTCGCTGCATCATGACGCTACTTCGCAATTGGTTCATACCCTTTGAGCGCCGCAAGAGTCGAGGGGTTGGTGGTGGCAGTTGAACCCAGCTCAGCACGTCAAAGTGAAACGAACTTCCTCCCGCGTCGCCACGCAGGGTGACCAATCCCAGCACGCCGAGTTGTTTCCGTCTGATTAGTGAAACATTTTCCAGCATATGTAAGAATATTTTATACGCATTCGACCATACAGACGCGATTTTGCCAGAATATTCTTCCAAATTTGAGTGGGGATATCTGGCAAAGAAACAAAGCTGCCCGTTTCCCATACACCCCAATTTCCAGCCAGCACCACGCAGGCAGCTGCATAGGCCAGGAACGAACCAACCTCCTCTGCTCGCGCCGCCTCCAGGGCTGGGCGTGCAAGAATGGCGGCGCGACGTGCAAACCCCTGGCCAATCTCGCTTGCGCCAATCTGCTCCAATCCCACGATTTGCCCCGTTTCCAGCATTCCTTGCGTCGAGCAGACCCCCGAACAACCCCCAGCGAGCTGCGTGCATGTGTCCGTCTGAGCAAGCAAGGCAAGAGAGCAAGCATTCCTCTTCCTGCATTCCCCTCCCCTCCCGTCCCTTGGCTTTCTGATTGCTCCTCCCTACATCCCTGCCGATTTCGCCCCTTCTTTTTAGCCCCTTTCTTGACTGTCTCCCTGCCCTGTCCTGCCCTGCCCTGCCCTGCCCTCTCCTACCGCCGGTCACGTCCGCGTCGATCCGTGCCCCTGTGAGCGTCACAACGCTGCGCCCATCATCCATTTGTTCCTGCGCCTGCTCCACTGCTCCAATTCACTCTGCACCTACTGCCTCCTAGCACATGCTTCTGGCCCACGGTTAATTCCCACACCGCGCCTCGGCGTCGAGCCGCGGGTGGTGCCGCGCCATCCCTCACCTCATCACAGCTAGCGCTAACAATTTGCGCAGTCGGCGAGCTCTCTCTCCCGCGGTAGGCAGGCTGGTTGTTAGGCTAGATCGCTGCACCTAATTCCTTTAGTTCCTTTGGCTCTCCTTTGGCTCTCCTTTGGCTCTCCTTTGGCTCTCCTCTGGCTCTCCTTTGCTTTCTCGCGCTGCATTGAGACTAAGCCAGCCGCCATCTGGGCGAGGTTGTGTCACAATCTACGCTATTGCACCAGCAGCTTGCTAGAACGCTACTCACTGCTCAGCCTTAGTTGCAAATTAATCGATCGACGCTGCTCGCGACTGGGTGTCTTAGAGACTTTCGCTGGGCGGTCTTGCGGGGCTTCCGTGCTGCTGAAACGATTGCCTAGTACTAATCTATCTCGCGCTTTTCCCTGACCCCGTACCTCGCGAAACATTCCAGCGTAACTCGTAGCTCGTTGCTCGTTGCTCCTCGCACCATGGTTTTTTTCGTACTCGCCGCGTACTGGCCGTTATAGATGCATCCGCAACAACGTACTGGTCTCTTTCTAAACTACTCACTGCTCACGTCTAACTGTCCACTTTATTGACCAACATACCTTATCCCACTGCCACTGGCTGCTCCCTGCTGTGCCCCTAACGCCCCTACCGCCTCCCTCCCTCTTGGTACACCAATCACCTTGACACGTAACCTTAGTACTAGGCAATCTTTATATTCTCCCCTGTGGCCCGGCCCGACACTTCGGCAGACTTCCTCTTTACACCGCATTCTAGTTCCCTTCGTCTCAGCCTCTTAGTTTCCTCGCGACCGTCTGCCGTTCCTTCCCGCATATGGCGGCAGCTGTGTCCTAGTCTCCAACCTACGAGCGTTTTTCAGAATCCTAAACAAACCACCCTGCAGCTGTGTCCTAAACACCATTGAGCCGACCTCGACTCTAGACCGACCTGCTGCTGCCACAGTGCTGGCTCACCCCGCTTCAGCTCACACTCACCATCGTTACTCACATTTGTCTCACATCGGCCGCTCGCGATGAGTAACGAGCCGCTTCTTCCCTCGTCCGCGCCGCCACGCGCAGCACCACCAGCGCCTGCTCGCGCTAACAGCCGCACCTCCAGCGACGCATCTTCCGAGCAACACCAACACGACGACGACGACGATCGTATCCCCGTGTCTTCCGGCGGCGGCGGCGGCGGCGGCGGCGGCGGTGGTGGCGGCGGGGGGGACGTCGCGGTTCCGATCAATCGGCTCACCAGCGTCGAGTGGGCGGAGATGGGGGCGCTTGTTGCGGAGACCGCGGCGGAGTATCAGCCAATCGCGATGCCGCCAGATCAGCAGCCCGAGCCGCGAGACGACGGGTCGCAGTCGCCGCTCCACCCGCAGCAGGCCGCGGCGCCGCAAGACTCGCGGCGGCGCGTCGGAGCCGCTAAATACCTCCGCACGAGCCTGTACTCGTTATTCTTCGGTTCGCGGATTAATCTCCTGCTGGTTTTTGTCCCCGTGACGTTTTTTTGCGTGGCGCATAACTTACCTTCTAACGTAATCTTCACCTTCAGTCTTCTCGCGCTCGTCCCCCTAGCGGAGCGGCTCGGCTTTGTAACGGAGCAGCTTGCATTGTATACGAACCCGACGGTCGGAGGGCTTCTTAACGCGACATTCAGTAACGCGCCGGAGCTGATTATTGTCATGGTGGCGCTGCGCAGCGGGCTTGTACGCATTATACAGCTCTCCCTTTTAGGGTCTATTCTGGGGAATCTGCTGCTTTGCCTGGGGAGCGCGTTTCTGGCGGGCGGAATGGTGCACCGGAATTTGCGCTTCAACAAGCCGGCGGCGCAGATGAACTGCGGTGAGTGCGCGCACCTAGGCATGCGCGCAATGCGCAATGCGCGCAGAATTTGTGCCCCGAAGCGCGCTTGCTCGATTCGTTTCATCTCAACTTTTGAAAAAAACACCAATTTTTAAAAAGCGACCCTGTCTGTCGGGTCATATGATGACCAACCCCTCCCCCTCCCCCCTCCCCCCTCCCTCCTCCCTCCCCGCCCCCTCCCCCACCACCACCCGCGTTCCCTGCCGCGCAAATGCTAGGATGAGCCTTCTCCGCGCATTAGCGCGTCACGGGCACGACTCAATCCACTCCAAACTCCACTCACAACCGCGCGTCCCGCCCCCCGCCTCCCGCCCCCATCGTTTCGGAGGCGCGCTTATGCTAGCGATGAGCACGCTGCTCTTCCCGAACCTCCTCCACGCGACGGGGACGGAGCTCCACGAGAACGACTCATCCCGTCCCCCCCCCCTTTCTCCCCCCTTCCCCCCCCCCCTCTCCCCCCTGTTCCCCGCAGGCGCGCTCGTACTAGCGATGAGCGCGCTGTTCTTCCCCAACCTCCTCCACTCGACGGGCACGGAGCTCCACGAGAACGACTCATCCCGTTTTCCCCATCCCCCCTCCTTCCCCCCTCTTCCCCCCTCTCCCCGCAGGCGCGCTCATGCTAGCGATGAGCGGGCTGCTCTTCCCCAACCTCCTACACGCGACCGGCACGGAGCTCCACGAGAACGGCTCAGAGCTCGCGCTCTCGCGCCTCGCCGCCGTCCTCATGCTCGTCGCTTATTTCGCGTACATCTACTTCCAGCTCTTCACTCATAAAGACCTATTCGAGGGCCCGGACGCGGACGGGGACGGCGGGGGCGGCTTGGAGGGTGGCGCGGGGGAGGGGGAAGCGGAGGAGGAGGAGCAGTCGGTGCTGGGGTTCTGGGGCGGGGTGTTTTGGCTGGCGCTAGTATCCGCGCTGATCAGCGTGATTAGCGATTATTTGGTTAACTCGGTGGATGGCGCTGCGGAGGAGTGGGGCGTGCCAGTGTCGGGGCTGTGCGTGGTGGTGCTGCCGCTGGTCAATAACGTGACTGGTGAGTCTGGGGGAGAGAGAGAGGGAGAGAGAGGGAGGGCGGAGGGGATGGCGTGGGGCCGGGTGGGATGGGATGAGGTGAGAGAGAGGGACAATGGGGAGAGGAATCGGATGTGTATGAGGGAGAGATAGACAAAACGGTTCCTGCTCTGTTGCATTTTTGAGGCGCCTAAAAAAAAATTGAGGCGCCTCAAAAATTGCATTTCCTTCCCATATCTTCTCTCCCTTCCCCTGCTGCAAACCCCCCTTCCCCTGCTGCAAACCCCCCTTCCGCTCCCTCTAACCCCTCTCCCCCTATCCTACTGTCCCTGCTCTTCCCTGCTCCCCCCCCCCCCCCCCAACCCCTGCTCCCCCCCTGCCCACTTTCCCCCCTCCTGCTTCCTCCCACCCAATCAGAGCACACGTCCGCCATTCTCGCAACAAGCTCTATGTCTCCCTCTCCGTCTCAGTCGGCTCCTCCGTCCAGCTCGCCAGGTTCCTCATCCCTTTCTCCCACCCCTTCCCACCCCTTCCCACCCTCCCCCCACCCCATCAGAGCACACGTCCGCGATTCTCTTCGGCATCCGCAACAAGCTCGACGTCTCCCTCTCCATCGCGGTCGGCTCCTCCATCCAGCTCGCCATGTTCCTCATCCCGCTCGCCGTGATCGGCGGGTGGGCCATCGACGTGCCCATGGACCTCAACTTCCACCGCTTCGAGACCTGCACACTCTTTATCACGGTCCTCGCCACCGTGCTCACGCTGCACGAGGGCTCGGCCAACTGGCTCAAGGGGCTCATGTTTGTGCTCATGTATCTGATTCTCGCCGCGACCTTTTTCAACCACAAGGAGGATTACTTGGAGCCGCAGGCGTCTGTGCACGCGGCGCCTGTCGTGCTTTAGCTGATGCTGGCTACGTACGCTCTCTCCTCGTTTTTGGATTCTCCGGGGCCTGCTCATCTGCGTAGTCAGCCCTCCTCCTCCATGTCCCTCCTCACTCATGCACCTCCCTTCCTCTTCTTCCTCTTCCTCTTGGTGGGAGCCGCCATTCCTGATTGTGTGTGTGTGGCTCTGCTGCTGCATCTTGCCTCTCTCGCTTTCACTTTCTATAGAAGTCTCTCCTCCACCAGCAGCATCTGGAAGGCTGCTGACCGTTTCTGAAAACTTTGCCTGTGCAGTTCGTTGCCCATAATTCCTGATCCTCAAGTTCCAAAAAGCTTGGGGAGAAAGGGAGCCAGGATTTTGCTGGAGCATCAGCTGCAGTGCCTGAAAGCGAACTGTGTGTGCCTACGTGTGTGGCCAGCAATTTCCATTGCTGTGCTTGCGCTGGCAGCCTGTGCTGTGCCCTCCTTGGGTGGCACATATCCACTCATACGTTTCTTTGTGTGTCAAACATATTTTTTTTGGATTTCTTACGTTTCCTTACATTGATGAGATTATTCACTTGCCATGTTTGTGAAAATGTTGTATTGTAACCAACACTGACCTTTTTAATGAACAAATATGACGTCTTTTGATGTTGGCTAGCACATATTTTTTTCACGTATTGTGGGTTATTGACCTTGGTTCTATGGTGCACATCTGTTTCAATCCACAGATCATACAGCAACGGTGACGCGTCTGCAGAGGAATCTATAGCGAGATCACAGATTTGCCCCAAACTGACCTTCCGTTCCGCTCAGTTCCATTCCGTTCCATCCGTCACTTGCTACCTCCCACTCTTAACGCTAAACGCTTAGAAATCTGACGGTCGTTTTGTTGTCCGTGGAGCCAAGCATTCTTCATCGCACCCCTCAACCAGCCTCCGACGATATTGTCACTCACCTTCCGACTTTTAGGATAAAAGCGCGGAGTAAGCCCAGTAAAAACGCTGAGAAAACTTAAGTGAATCGCGGACTGAGAACAGTGCACACGTTTACAATACGAGGTCTCTGGACCCCCCTGTCCCAAGTTCCGGGGTGTACCAGCTCAAACTAGTTCGTTCTGACTCCTCCAAGTATGTCCCGCCCTGTTCCGCTCTTTCCATGGGGATTCGCGGCTAGCTAATCGTCTTGAGTTCCTAGGCTGATTCGCGGTCATTGTTCTCCGGCTGATTCGCCGCTGCAAGCGCGTTGACATCACGGCCGCTGATTGCCTGATTTGTACATCACAGCCGTCGGTCGTTTCAAATTTCAAATCGCAGCCGTTGATTCCCTGTTTTCCACGGCTCCGTACAATCCGCTCGCGGTAGGATCATGAGCATATAGCACCTTCCCGGCGACGGGCCTTCACGCGTTCCGATCACCCAGACATAAGGAACCGAGTTTTGAGACGTCTCAAAGCGCGTTCCGAGCTCCGAGTCATAAGGCATCAACAGCCCTAGTGCCCCGGCTAGAACCCGACCCGACGGAAACCGTTAAGAAATCTGAGTCGCCTTAATAGTAAACGTCCGACGGAGCGGGCGCGATGAGGAAGGATCAGCAATCCAAGGGTCTGACGGACCGCAAGATCGGCCTCGCGATTACTCTAGGCGCCGCGCTGGGTACTCTCCTGGCCGTGTGGCAGTTCAGCCAAGGGGTAAGCCGAGTCGTCGGACGGCAACTTCTAGACCAAATCCTCCTCGCACAGTGCGTTTTCATTCAAACCTACTGAGTTGAGTTCAAATCCAGTTCAGCCTTGGGGTAAGCAGAGTCGTCGGAGGGCAACTTCAAGGCCAAACCCTCCTCGCACAGTGCCGTTTCGGTCAATCCTACTGAGTTAGCTTCAGATTCACCCTGCTGGCCATGTGGCAGTTCAGCCCAGGCGTAAGCAGAGCGGAGTTGTTGGCAGGAATGTGCTAGGCGCTGGCATAGTGGCGTTTCAGTTCTATTTATTGAGTGGCTGAGCTGAGGTGTCCCAGCGAAGCTGCTAGGCACTAGCACAGTGACCTGCTAGTTGACCTATTGACATTCTGCTTGGCAGTTAAGCTAACGGTTGGGCTGAGCTGAGGCGCTAGGCACTAGCAAAATGACTTGCTAGTCGACCTATTGACTGAAATTTCTACCTCTGCTGGCTATTTGGTATGGCTGCATGGCAGGTGTCTATCCCTGTGGCACACCCGACAGGCTGTAACACCACCAGAGAGGAACGTCAATCAGAAATACAATTTCAAGCCCCCTCTAAGCGACTAATACTGTTTGTAACCCACTCCCTCCTCTCCCCTCCTCTCCCCTCCCCTCCGCTCCTCCCCCCTCCTCTCGCCTCCTCTCCCCTCCTCTCCCCTCCGCTCCCCTGCTCTCCCCTCCTCCCCCCTCCTCTCCCTTCCGCTCCCCTCCTCTCCCTTCCGCTCCTCTCCTCTTCCCTCCTTTACGTTCCGCTCCTCTCTTCTCCCCTCCTCACCCCTCCACTCCCCACATGCGGTGACACCAGAGGAGCGCGAGCTGCGGGGACTAAGGGAAGAAGTGCTCTCCCTCCAGCGGCGCCTGACCAGCTCAATTCCGAGTCTTCTTTTGAGTCCAGTCGAAAGCACCCGCTCCTCCCCCCTCCTCTTCCCCCCACAGGCGTTAACACCAGAGGAGCGCGAGCTGCGGGGCGTAAGGGAGGAAGTGCTCTCCCTGCAGCGGCGCCTGCATCAGCTCAAGTCAGAAAAAGCTGACCTCGACAAGAAACTCCTAGCCGCCTCCGGTGCTGGGGATGAGGGCGCAGGAGGAGCAGCAGCAACAGCAGCTGACGCCGTACCAACAGCTGAGTCCCTCTGGTCCGGCGTGAGGATTAAAGCCGGGCCTAGAGGGACCGTCCACAGCCAGTCTAAGAACCCCGAGATTATCCCCGACCCGACTGCCAACCCGCAGCTAGCAGCTCTTCTCGAGAAGGTCGCGATCAACCGGGAGATTATTGTCGGGATCTCGAACATTAATATCCGGTCGATGCTCGAGACGTGGTTCACCCAGATCCAGCGCGCGGGGATTAAGAACTACTTAGTGGTTGCGCTGGATGACATGACAAAGGAGCTCTGCGAGTCGCGCGGCGTGCCGGTGTACCAGCAGGAGGCGAAGATCGCAGACACGCAGAAGGACGGCGGGGACAACCACGCAATCTCCAGCTCCAAATTCCACCTGCTGAGAGACTTCCTGGTGCTCGGGTACTCGGTGCTGCTCTCAGACATCGATATTGGTTTCCTGCAGAATCCGTTCGAAGGGAACCACCTGTACCGGGACTCGGACGTGGAGGGGATGACGGACGGGTTCACGAATGCCACTGCGTACGGCTATGACGATGTGTTGGACGATCCGGCGCTGGGGTGGGGCCGGTACGCGCACTCCATGCGTATATTCGTGTTCAACTCCGGGCTCTTCTACATCCGCCCCACGGCTGCTTCTATCGAGCTGCTAGACCGCGTGGCGATGCGGCTCGCACGGGAAAAGGCGTGGGATCAGGCGGTGTACAATGAGGAGATGTGGTTTCCCTCCCGGCCGGGAGTCGCAGGGCTGCATATCTCCCGGCGCGCCATGGACTATTTCAAGTTTATGAACAGCAAGGTGCTGTTTAAGCAGGTGAGGAAGGAGCCTGGGCGGTTTGCGGGGTTCACGCCGGTGAGCGTGCATGTGAACTACCACCCGGAGAAGGAGGCGAGGCTGGTGGCGCTGATTGATTACTATGTGAATGGGAACAAGGGCGCGCTGGATCCCTTTCCGGATGGGTCTATCTCATAGGTCTATCTCTTAGGTTAATGGATGGAGGTTTGTTTGGATAGGGTGGTTGAGAGATTTGTTGCGCTTGCAGAAGCAGCCTGTGGACTGGTGGAGGGGAGTAGAAGGCTGAGACAAGGAGGCATGGGAGCAGAGGAGAGTGCCTCTGGTTGAACATGCAACTCGAAGAGATGTTGCTCCATTGAACGCGTATCGTATCCAGTAATGCCCAACTGATTGTTTCTTAGCTTGGATGATGTTATGCGTTGTGAATTCCTGCTCTGGATAGAGTACATTCGTGTGTGCTATTCCCTCCCGTGTTCATGCACGAGATATATTTAGGCCGAGTGTAATCTAGTTCATTGTTTTTTTTTGAAGACAAAGTTTTAGAAGAGAAATGAATTTTCTTTTGTGTACATAGGCTGCTTGTATATATTCTCATACAAACGAACACAGTTCGAAATTTTGGAACTTCGAATTCGGGTGGTGCATTGGACAACTCTGACACCATTCGACACTTGGGATCCATTTGGTATTCGACCGCAGAAGCTCGGAACAGAAGCATACCCTGAAAATATCGAACGGCATGCCTGGCTGGGGAGCCGAAAACACCAGTACCCTAGAGCATCGAGCTCCTGGTACGACTTCGAGAACACGCCTTCTATCGCGAAACAGAAATCGCCATCCACAACTCGATCACTTCTGCCACTTCAACCATTGCCAATTCTATAACCCGCTTCAACCATGCATCACAGCCCAAGTTTGCCACAGCCATAGACTGCCTTCCTGCCCACCGTCTTCCTTTCGTGTCTTCTTGTTTCCTCCAGGACTCGACCGGCGCTCTATCCACAGTTTCATTCCTCTGCGCAATTAAGCTCGTTCCTGCACCCCTTTCTCTCCCTCCCTTAGTGCTCACTCGATCCCTCTGTCGTTGCCCTCGTGACGCCTTCTGGCGACTCCGTCCACCTTTAGTATGGAATAGTATTCTGCTTATTGGCTGGTTCGTTATTCTTTCCTGTTCAATTGCTGAAAGTGGTGGAACGCCGTTACCGAGCACGGGCAACACTTGCGGTAACACCGTTACACCGAGCGGCGCGGTAACGCCGTTACTGCGCGGTGGTAACACCTCCAATCTAGATAATTCGACAGAGCGGGAGGTCATGGTGGCTGCTGCGAGCCAATCAGACATGGCCGACGCGTCGTTCTCCTCACACGATCATCTGCTTCCAGCGAGTGCGACTATAGCGGGGACAGCAGCAACAACGGCTTCTCCAGCGTCACTCGCGCTGGCTCTAGTGCCGTCTGACGTGGACTCAGTCCTTGCTGACGCGATGCTGGACACGCACGTGGAAGACGAGCCGGGGAGCAGTGTCGATGTTCCTGAAACCCCGGAAGTGTCTAAAGAGGCAGTGGGGCCGGTGGCGAAAGCAGTGAGGCCGTTTCGAGGCACTCAAGTGCGCAAGAAGGCGGTTGTTTTCAAACGAGGTGAGCTGTCGCCGTAATTGCAGGGGATTGCGAAGTTTACCCTGTCATTGATCTCGGCTTGTTTGTCGTAAACTCCTCTTCCCTCTTCTCTCTTCTCTCCTCCCTCCAACTGCTCCCCCCTCTCGCCTCCCTTCTCCTCCCGTTCCCTCCCTGTCTGTCTTCCTCCCACAAATCTACACCGTCACCCTCTCGTTTCCCTCTCGTTTCCCTCTCGTTTTGAGGCGCCTCATAAATACACTCCGCACGCAGTCTACACCTCACAGTTCGTCTCCGATCGGTGATTTTTGAGTCGACTCAAAAATCGCACGCAAGGCTACACCTCACAGTTCGTCCCTCTCTCGAAAAACGGCATTTATCTTCCATTCCTTCTCACAGGTTACCGGCTGCCCAACCCGCTCCCGAAAGATTTCTCCGTGCCCGACGATCTGCCCGCAAACATGGCTGCTGGGCTCGCGTGCGCCGCCATCCAGCTTCATGAGGAGGGCGCCGGGCAGCTGCTGCGGGCACTGCAGCCCAAATTACTCGGGCCCACTGCCGTGGAGGGTTTGCTTTATGGAGGAGGAGGAGGGGGGGTTCCCCAGGGGGAAGATAGTGGAATTCTGACGAGGATCGGTAGAGAGAGGGGAGTGGAAGGTGGGATAAGAGGTGGTGATGCTGGGGGTGCGGGTGGTGGTGGTGGTGGTGGTGTTGGGACAGGGGCGAGGGGGGAGGAAGAGGAAGAGGCGGGGGATTTGGATTGTGGTAGGAGAGGGGAGGGGGAGGGGGATGAGGAGGATAAGGAGAATGAGGATTCAGCACAGGCGAAGGGGGAGCAGGGGCCGTACAGGGGAGAAGGAGACGCCGCGTTGGCAGTGGTAAAGACTCTCCGGACGTATGAGGCTCTTAGGAGGCACTATGTGCGTGTGAACGAGTTACACCTGGCGGCTAAGGCGAAGCTCGCCGCTCTTAATCGCCGACGAGGGGGCGGCGGCGGGAGAGGAGGAGGGAGAGGGAAGGGCCGTGGCGGTGGGGTTGGGAGAGGGAAGAAAGGGCGGGGGAAGGGGAGGGTGGGCGCAGGAGGAGGAGCAGGCATTGGCAGGGGGAGGAGGGACGCGGTGGAGGAAGAGGAAGAGGAAGGGGAGACTGTTGAGAGGGTTGCAGAGGTGTTGGAAGAGGTGATGGAGAAGAATCCGTATCACAAGCGGCCGGACTTATCCGCTGGTAAAACCATGCGGCTGCAGGGCCTTGTGATCAACAACGAGAAGGCACGAGTGATTGGCCATGTCTCCGGGATCCCTGTGGGGTTCCAGTTTTTTAGCCGACAAGAGATGGCCGTAGTAGGAGTTAATCTCCAGGCACAGGGGGGTATAGACTATTCTCCCCCCGGTGCGAACCAGTGGGGAGTGGAAGTAGCGTCTTGTGTGGTGCTGTCGGGAGGGTATGAGGACGATGTGGATAACGGGCAGTGGTTTGACTACACCGGGCAGGGCGGAAACAATTACCGCGGGGATAAGACGCAGCAGAAGGACCAGCTGTTGGAGCGCGGCAACCTCGCTCTGGTCAACAGCGAAAAGTTACAGCTGCCCGTGCGCGTGGTCCGGGGGGTGAGTGAGCCGGCGAGCTACACTAAAATGGTCTACACCTACGACGGGTTATACCGAGTCACGCGCAGCGAGCACACACCGGGGGACTCGGGTCATCTGATCTTCAAATTCCGCATGGAGAGGGAGGAAGGGCAGCCGGCGCTGCAGACCCCAACGGTGGAGTTTGTTCGGGCGTCGCTGAAAACCGGGACTAGGTCGAAAGACCGGAGGGGGTTGGTGTCAGAGGATATTTCACAGGGGAAGGAGATCCGGCCGGTTTGTGCGGTGAACACGGTGGATAAGGAGCCCCAGCCTCCTCCGGCATTTGAGTATATCAGGCAGATGAATCATTTGAATGCGCTGAAGAAACTGGCCAGGAGAGATGCCGCCCTGGCTGCTAGGAGTGGTGATGGTGGTGGTGCTGGTGCTGGTGCCGGTGCCGGTGCCGGTGCCGGTGCCGGTGCCGGTGCCGGTGGTGGTGGCATTGGCGCTGTGGCAATTGATCTCCAGCCGGTGGTTCTCGGCTGTTCGTGCACGGACGGGTGCGTGGACGCCACAACATGCGAGTGCGCGCAGCTGAACGGCGGAATGATGCCTTTCACACGCGAAGGAGGCCTCATAGAAGCCCAGCAGGTGATCTACGAGTGCGGGCCGAAGTGCGCGTGCGCGTGCTCCTCCGCCTCCTCCTCCTCCGCCGCCTCCCATGGTGGTTCCGCTCGTTTCGGAGCTGGTAGCGGCGGTGGCGGGGCCAGCAGCAGCAGCAGCAGCTCGTGCATCAACAGAGTGAGTCAGAAGGGGGCGCAGGTGCGGCTGGAGGTGTTCAAAACGGAGCACAAGGGGTGGGGCGTGCGGTCGTGGGACGCTATTCCGGCGGGTCACTTCGTGTGTGAGTACACGGGGGATCTGATGAGAGACGACGATGCGGAGGCGCTGAGAGGGGACGATGAGTACTTGTTTGACTTGGACCTCGCGCGGGGGATTCAGGAGCGCTGGGGAGACGTTTCGGGCATTCTTGGTGGGGGTCGTGGGTATGGTGGGGGTGGGGGTGGGGGTGCTGCTGCTGCTGCTGCTGCTGCTGCTGCTGCTGCTGCTGGTTTGGAGGAGGAAGAGGAGGAGGAAGAGGAGGAGGAAGAGGAGGAGGAAGAGGAGGAGGGGGTGGAGGATGGGTTGAGAGACGAGGGCAGGAGGGGGCGGAAAGCGCGAATGGCAGAGGACAGAGAGGAGGAGAGGGACAGGAGATGGTTGGCAGGAGGAGGAAGAGGAGGCGGAGGAGGAGGAAGTGAGGGAGGTGAGGGGGATGGGGAGAATGGGGAAGACCATGGGAAGCGGATTCGCGGGTCTGATTCGAGCAGGCACGGGAGGCACGCTGGCAGTCAGAGCACCGGGTATCCACACCCGCGCGTTACAAGAGCAGCGTCTTCGTCTGTAGCGTCTACGGCTGCAAGCGCGGCTGCAGCCGCCACCGCAGCTGCAGCTGCAGCAGCAGCAGCAACAGAAAAGAGGTCCTCAAAGGGCCCCTCTGGAGCAGCAACAGCAGCACCGCCACCAGCAGCAGCAGCATCACCAGCAGCACCTCATGACGGCCTTCACTTCTGCCTGGATGCGAAGCGCAAGGGCAACGTGGCGCGGTTCATCAACCACAGCTGCCAGCCGAACCTGTTTGTGCAGTGCGTGTTCTTCGACCACCACGACCACCGCCTCCCGCACATCATGCTCTTCGCCTACGACAACATCCCGCCGCTGCGAGAACTCACGTATGACTATGGCTACCAGATCGACAGCGTCACGGATGGGAACGGCAATGTCAAGAAGCTTCTCTGCTACTGCGGCGCTGCGTCTTGTAGAAAGCGGCTGTATTGAGTGGCGCTGGGGTGATGGGTTGCTGGTGCTGGGTTGCTGGGGTGATGGGTGGTGGGGTCTCTCCAACGACAACATCCCACCGCTCGAGGAGCTCACCTATGGGTATGGGTACCACAGATCGACAGAGTGACAGGCGGCAACAGGAGTGGCAAGAAGCTGTTGTGCTAATGCGGTGTGGCTTTCTGCAGAAAGAGGTCGTATCGAGTGGTGCTGGGTGATTGGTGATGGGCTGTTGTACTACTGCGGTGCTGCTGCGTGCACAAAGCTGCGGTGCTGCTTCGTGCACAAAGCGGCTGTATTGAGTGGTGCTGAGTTCATGGTGGGTTCTTTCTAGCTCGCTCGTGCTCTGCTCTGGTTTCTTCTGGTCCCTCGTCCCGTTTCACAGGATTGTGCTTTAGATAGCCTCGTCTGGGTCCTCTCTCTCTCATAACACCTCGAATTGCCTCTCTTACTCTCTCATTTCTAGGTGCGCAATTTTGTTTTTAATGTACAATTTCTGTCTGTTGTATTGCACATGGCTCCAAACTTCAGACATCCACCACATGCATAAGAACTCAAATCAACTATGCCATGTAGATCAGTGTTCGTTTGACTATACAGATTAATGTGCCTCCATAAGAGGTTACGTATCTGAAGCCTAAGCGCATGTACACACAAAACATTGCCTAAGAGACTACTACGGTACTACTGGTACCATACGAAGCAACTGGAAGTAAAAACAAAAGAAACCCAAAATATGGCTTTCTGATTGTCCAGTAGCCAACAGCTAGAGACAGAGAGATCGCCAGCTCGTATATACGCCACTACACTTGGGCGTGTATAAGTATCAGCCGTACATACATTGAAGTATGTACAAGTACACCACAACCTGCAAGCCCACCGCTGCTGCTGCTGGCGTCACTCATGTCTGCACCAGAGGAAGCAGCAGCAGCTGCTGCCGGTGCTGGTGCTGCTGGGGTTGCACTCTTGCCTGCTTGGGGCTGTGAACAAGCCCCTTGGGGAGGTGCAGCAGCGGAGATGCCGAGGCAGACCTAGCTGCCGCAACCACTGGCTGCTGCTGCTGCTGCTGCTGCTGCTGCTGCTGCTGCTGCTGCTGCTGCTGCTGCTGCTGCTGCTGCTGCTGCTGCTGCTGCTGCTGCTGCTGCTGCTGCTGCATCACCTGAGGTACCACCAATTGTTGCTGCTGCTGCAGCTGAAGCTTTGGCTGCTGCTGCTGCTGTTGGAGCATCAGCTGCGTTGGTTGCACCGGCCTGCAGCTGGGCAGCACCAGCAGAGGAACCGCAGCGCGCCTGCCCGGACTCCTCACACTCACACTCACGCTCGTGCTCATGCTGCCCACATTGCTGACCGCAGCGGGAGTGGCAGCAGCAACCGGTGTCGAACGCAATGGAGAAACAGGCTTAGTCACAACAGCAGCAACAGCCGCAGGAGCAGAAAGAGCTGAAGGAGCAGGAGCAGAGGCGGTAGCAGCCGTGGAAGAAGTAGGCGGTCCCTGTCGCGGAATCGGAGCAACCACCTTTGGAAGACACAGCTTGGGCAGACGAAGTGCAGGGGACGCAGAAAGCGCAGGGAGCACAGGGAAAGCAGGGAGCACATGGCCAGGCGTGGCTAGTCTCGCAGCACCAGCAGCACCAGTAACTGCAGCTGTGGCAACTGCTGCAGCACGGTCGCTCACAAGAGGCGCAGAGGGACACACACTCACACGCACTGCCACAGGCCGCGAAACCACGGGCGTGCGTGGGGCAGCGGAAGCAGGAGGAGGGGGAGGAGGAGGAACAGCAGCAGCAGCAGGAGTAGCAGCAGCAGGAGCAGGCGAGCAGGAGAGCGTGAGAGCACATCCAGACGAATCCTCAACACTTCCCGCCCCATTAGCAGCACCAGCACCAGCACCAGCAGCAGCAGGAGGGGCAGGTGAAGCAGCAGTAGCAGGTGAAGTAGTACCAGGGGAGGTTCCGCCACTGGAGCAGGCCTCGGCCCCACTTGAACCGCTTGACAGACCAGCATTGCCCAGCTCAAGCCACACGCCGCTCTTCTCCCCCTCACTCTCCGCCACCTTCTCCTCCTCCGCTTCCCCCCCTTGCGCCCCCTCCGCTTCCCCCCCTTGCGCCCCCTCCGCTTCCCCCGCCCGCATTCCCCCCCGCGCTTCCGCCAGCAGCGGAAGCAGCTCCGGCACCTCCCCCTTCGCCACTGCGCGTTGCACTGTCACTCCTTCCAGCCCCTTTTCCTGCTCCGCGAATCCGCCGGCTCCGCCTATTGCGGAGACCACCGCCTTCCCGCCAAACACTCCGCCAACACCTGCGGCTGCTCCGCGCGTCTCGATCGCGGTGGCTCCAGCCGAAGCACTTGCCGCCGCGTCTCCCGCCGCGTCTGCCGCTACAGAGGCCAGGCCGACCATAGATTCTGCCGCGCTCGGCGGAGCCAATAGGAGCGAAGCAGCCGCCATTTCACAGTCCTTCTGCCACCACCCAACGGCCTCAGGGCCTTCTTCCGACTCCTCCTCGTGCTCCGTTTTAAGCCGCTTCGCAACGGCCATAATCAGCGCCACCTCATCTCGACCAACGGCTGTGCCCGCGCCCGAGTTCCGCGCGCCCTTGCGCTTCTTCCCCGCGCCCGCCCCCGCGATCGTCAAATCCGCGCCCCAATCCTGCGCCTGGCTCTCCCGCGCGCTCAAAACCTCGTCCTCCGGAGTTTTGGCACCGTTGCTACCCGCGCCGCCGCCGCCGCATTCGCCGTCGGACATGCTTTCCGAGCCGCCGCAACCGCCCCATCCCTCGTCCTTCATCAGCGTTGCACTCTGCTCGTCCGTCTGCTCGCTACCCTCGTGCTCATTTTCGCTGCACCTGCTGCTGCTGCCGCTTCCGCACGCGCCCGGGGTCGTTCCCTTTTCCGCCGCTCCCGCTCCCCTCTCCGCCAGCCGGAGGAGTGCGCACGCGCTGCCGTTGTCGCGCCCCTGCCACCGGCGGAACGCGCTGCCCCCGCCGTCGCCGCCGCCGCCGCCGCCGCTGTTCCGAATCACCGGCACGAATCCAAATCCGGCACCAATGGGACGATTTGAATTCCACGAGACCTGACTGCCTGCCTCTGATTCGTCCTCGCCCGTCGGCAGCATCACCGGTACTCGCTCGTCCGCTCCTTGACGGCTACCCGCTTCCGAAGCGGCAGCGACGGCAACGGCCGCCATCAGCGCGTCGGCTCGCGAGCCGGCGGCCGTCGACGCTGTCGGCCGTTCCAAACGGTGGCCGTTGGAGAAGCTCGCCGACAGCGACGCGGCGGCCGGCACGGATCGGACGGACGGCAGGTCCGTGGCGGCAGCGGCGGCGGCGGCGGCGGAAGTCTGAATGCATGCGGGAAGTTGAAGCTTTAGCGGGCAGGCCGCGACGAGTGGCGGCTGGTTACTCTGCGACAGATTCTGCGACAGGTTCTGCGACAGGTTCTGCGACAGGTTCTGCGACAGCGTCTCCGCGGATTGGACGACGGCATGCGACGGATGGATTCTGCTCCAGAAGCACCCGTCAGCGGCGCCGCCCACAGCGGACGTGGCGGGGTCGAAGGGCGGCTGAAATCCAGGATACACGGGGCGTAGAGGAATAACGTGCGTCGCGGTGGGGGTGGAGATTAACTCCCACGGCAGGTTGCGCAGATCGACGCGCTTCGAATCTCCCCGCTCGACTACGACCGTGTGAAGCGCCTTTTTGGGATCGAATTTGGTGACGGAGCCCATGTGCCAGCGCCCGTCGCGCGGCCATAGGAGCCGGAGTTGCGAGCCGATAGGGAGCCGGACGGCCGGATCTTTCCGCGAGGGATGGCCCCTTTTTTTCGAGTGAAGCTTCGAATCCATGGCGACGGAAACGAAAGGAAGGAATCCAGTCGGATGGAAGTTTAGTGGGGAGAATAGACGAGGCAGGAGCGTGAATTTCAACAGGCGAGGCGTGCATGCAACGGGAGGAGGAGGATGTAAGGCGCAAGAGCGTGAAGCTACTGGTACGATTCAGAAAAAATTCGGCTTACGACGTTTGCAAAGTGGAGGACTTCTCGAGAACTAACCTTGCGGCTGAGCTAACTGCGAGGATCCAGTGAGCTTGCTTCAGGGGGATTCTGTGCTACTGGCTTGTGATGTATCGCCGCGAGAATAGGCGGGGGCTCGCCTCGCCAAGAGCTGCGCGCAGGGGATGGTGATGTGTGATCGGCAAGACGCGGAGAGGACGGATGGATGGATGATGGGAGTGGGGAGAGGCGGGGAAGGGGAAGGGGAAGGGGGAGCGGAATGGGGAGGGGGAGAGGGAGGGGGGAGGGAGCAGGTGCCTCTTTGCCTTCTGCGCGTTTCGTTTTTTCTTGCGTTCGCCGCTCGCAGCACGCAACAGCCAAACGTTGCGCCGGACTCGAGGAAACGAGACATTTCGGGGGAAGGGAAACTCGCCCCAAGGCTCCCCGTCAGAAGCACCCTTGCGCCTGATTTAGCGCATACCGCGGCGCCTTTTCCAACGCCTCTCGCTCGCCCCTCTCGCCCAGGTTAGCGCCCCTCCGATTTTGCCGACACGATCCGCGCAACGAGCAGGCGCGCTTCTCCACCTCGTCACCGGCCTGATTTATCGTCATTTGATGGGGCCTACTTCGCGTTTAGTTTTTGGGGCAGGGAATGGGGCTGGCGAAACTAGAACGATGTGCCGAAGTTTGCCAATTGCTAGGTTGTAGGATTTCGAAACCTTTCTTGCCATTGCCCCTCGAGAGTCACAAACGATTCTGATGGAGTTCCCCCTTGACTGCGAAAGGGAGACCCGTTTCTGCCCGGTCAGCTTGGTTGGTCTCCTGCGTGACCGTCTTGTCAGGGGCGTTCCCCTCCCATTGCGCCCCGCGGGCCAGCAAACGACTCCGGAAATTTTGCGCGCGAGTCGCGAGTGCTGTCACTGGCCAATCTAGCCCCAACGCGTTCCAATTGGGCTGCCCGCTCACCCCCAGGACCCCGCCACATCGCCCTCAAACGCGTACAGTACCTCCCCCCTCCTTCGGGTGGTCGGGCAGGCCTTGGCGGAACCAACCCAGCCCAAATTTCATGGCCCTCGTTCACAGTTGCATGACGCATGTGCTGCGCCGCTCCATGGGTCTGCGCAGGCTCCCTCCCTGTCAAATGGCGCAGAAAGCTTCGGTGCTGGCGTGGGACAACCAAGCCGCTTCTGCGGAACGTCGTTCGTGTCAAATTTTGCGAAAATTGGTCTGGTGCGAACCAAACCTGCCCGAGGGGGATCGAGGCGCGCGACGAGCTGACCCTCAACCCGCGGAACCGCCACTCGTGCAAAAGTATTGCCCTTGCCCGAAAGATACTTCTCCCAAGGTTGCAGAAGGTGCACAGATTTTTGGATGGGCTGCGGGTTCCTGATTGGGCTTGGTCACTGGAAGCCTGTCCGTCTTGGGTAGAGCGGCGTTCTGATTGGTCCTTCCGAATCTCCTGCTGGCCTTGGCGCCTGATGCGCCAAGCTCTGCCACGCGATCCGTCAGTCAATCGAAGGCGCATCGGAACCACAAACAATTGTTGGAGGGGAAGGAAAACCGCCAGACCTAGAAAAGGACGTCCGCGAGGGCATGTGAAGAAGATCACCACATAATCTCTATTCCCTAGATAAGTGAAACATGCACGCATAATTATATCGGGTCACACATTTTCGAATATGCATCTGAGCTGCACCATAGCAACTCTTCTTGGACAACAAACACATAACGATTTTTTTTACCTTGTTTGCACTGCTACACTACTCCCTAAACGGTGTACCTCTCAGCGATTACGATCAAATTCGCCAGCAGGGAGGGTTGGTAGGTGATTGGAGAATTTCGCCAGCAGGGAGGCTTGGTAGCGCACGTCGCTAGCGAACAGCCCCGGCTGCGCCGATTGGCTCTCCTTTTGTTACACGCGCCTTACGCTGGTTTCGCATGGTGGGACCCCGTTACCCGCTCCTATGTCTGTGCTGGTCTCGGTGCTGTCCTTCCGAACTGCACCACCCTTCATTCTGGACCTGTTCCCAAAGCGGGATCTGTTTCAAAATCCATTCACATTGCGTACCGTCAAACGGCTCCGCGTGTCAAAAGCGGGTTACGATTTTTGGGGACACGCCCTGAGCTGAGGGCGCACTACCCTTCAGTTATGATGAGGTTGTGTTGTGAGTCGTGAGTCGTGACTAATTGCTCAAATTGGCCGTACATTATGGCAGAAAATCGTCCCACTGTCAGCATGTGCAAGCTAGCAGCGAACTGCAAGAAAAACGATTAGTAACTCTGATTCCGCTGCTCCATATCGCTGAGCAAGTCCTGAGAATCCCGGCGCGCCATTATGGGGAACGCCGCTCCGCCACGAACCGTACTACCCTGCTAGTCTAGTCTGATCTAGCTCATCATCATTCGCCACCGCCTCTAACGTTCTCGCGACTCGGTGGTCGTCGCGCCAACCGCGATGGGATCTACTAAGCTACTATTGGCTCCGCGCGATCGCATCGCGCGGGAACCGGGAGCGCGGTCGCAGCGGGGATATAGACAGGCACCGCCTCCGCGTTTTCCGCAACAAAAAAAAGCGCTTCGAGCTTTCAAACGAGACGGATGTCAATCGTACCGTGGCATAGATAAAGGTCTTGGAGAATATTCGCGCGTCCTAATCGCGTCGCGGGTAGAGCGCAGCGCATTACATCCTTCTATGGAATCAACATCAACATCAACATCAACCTCAACCTCAACCTCGTTGCGTCGATCGCGTTTAAGAGGCGCACACCAGTTGCGGAGAGCTCGACGATACGACAAACCGATCCGCGCATCTCCCCCCGTCCTCCTCATCCTCTTCCTCCGCGTCCGGTTCCTTCTCCCGCTCGCCCTCGCCCTCCTCAACCCTCCGATGTCACGGGGGGGCATTGCGCGATTTGCGGCGGCAGAGACGGTGGAAATCGCGGAATCAGCGGCGGAGAATCCGACGATCGAGCCGTGGATGGACGGCCTGGATTACAGCGTGATGGATTTCGCTGAAGGGGAGGAGGGGGAGACGGGGGGGGAGATGGGGAAGGAAAACGGGCAGGGGAATGGGGAGGAGAATGTGGGGGGAGCACTGGCGGGGATGGGGGAAGGGAGCGCCAATGATGGCTCCGCGGAAGCGCGGAAATTGGCGGTAGACACGGGCGGGGAGACTGCTGATTGGGCAATAGCGGACAGAGAAGGAGGGGGAGAACCAGGAGGAGAAACGGGGGGGGGAGAAGGGGGAGGAGCAGGGGGGGGAGAAGGGGAGGAGCGGGCGGGGGAGCAAGGGGGGGGTTCAAGTTTGATTACTACGACTGTGGGGACGACCGAGCTCGGAATTACTCGCACCCGCATGTAGCCGGTGGGTGGATGGACGGGTGGATGGACGGGTGGATGGACGGGTGGATGAGTTGTTGGGCGGGCGGGTAATGACACAGGTTTGCAATGCCATGCCAAGCCGTGATAGGCAAGGCAATACTATGGTCCAGGCGCCTTTGTGTCACGCTTTGAGTCTTCCTCCTCTGCTCCGCCTCCCCATCCCCCTCCCGATCCCACCCCCTTGTGTCGCCAGGGGCGGTGGAGGGCGGGCGCAAGTTTGTGATGCTGGCAACAGAGCGACCTTTTTTCAGTCTCGCGTCTTGAGTCGACACAAAAGATGAGGCTCCGCATCCCCCCTCTCCCCCCCTCTCCCCCCCTCTCCCCCCCCCATGTGTGTGCGCGTGCTGCTGCTGTTACCAGGGGCGGTGGAGAGCGGGCGCAAGTTCGTGATGCTGGCAGCGGAGCGCGAGCAGCTCACCAAGGCAAGGTCAGTCAGCCAATCACCAACTCACCCATTCCTTGGCTGTCTTCTCCGGTCCACTCCTCGTCCCTCCTCTCCTCTCTTCACCTCTCCTCTCCTCACCTCTCCTCTCCTCACCTCTCCTCTCCTCACCTCTCCTCTCCTCACCTCTACTCACCTCTCCTCTCCTCTCCTCTACTCACCTCTCCTCTCCTCTCCTCTCCTCACCTCTCCTCACCTCTCCTCACCTCTCCTCTCCTCTCCTCTCCTCACCTCTCCTCTCCTCTCCTGTCCCCTCCTCTCATCCCATCCCCTTCCTGTAACCTTAGCTTACCTATTGTTGAGGCGCCTCAAAAATAGGCGCCTCAAAAATAGGCGCCTCAAAAATAGGCGCCTCAAAAATAGGCGCCTCAAAAATAGGCGCCTCAAAAATAGGCGCCTCAAAAATAGGCGCCTCAAAAATAGGCGCCTCAAAAATAGGCGCCTCAAAAATAGGCGCCTCAAAAATAGGCGCCTCAAAAATAGGCGCCTCAAAAATAGGCGCCTCAAAAATAGGCGCCTCAAAAATAGGCGCCTCAAAAATAGGCGCCTCAAAAATAGGCGCCTCAAAAATAGGCGCCTCAAAAATAGGCGCCTCAAAAATAGGCGCCTCAAAAATAGGCGCCTCAAAAATAGGCGCCTCAAAAATAGGCGCCTCAAAAATAGGCGCCTCAAAAATAGGCGCCTCAAAAATAGGCGCCTCAAAAATAGGCGCCTCAAAAATAGGCGCCTCAAAAATAGGCGCCTCAAAAATAGGCGCCTCAAAAATAGGCGCCTCAAAAATAGGCGCCTCAAAAATAGGCGCCTCAAAAATAGGCGCCTCAAAATAGGCGCCTCAAAAATAGGCGCCTCAAAAATAGGCGCCTCAAAAATAGGCGCCTCAAAAATAGGCGCCTCAAAAATAGGCGCCTCAAAAATAGGCGCCTCAAAAATAGGCGCCTCAAAAATAGGCGCCTCAAAAATAGGCGCCTCAAAAATTTACCCCCATCTTTTCCTCTCTTCAAGGATCCTAGGTCGCCCCCACTCCCCTCCTTCACTTCACAGCGCTCATCCCACAAACTTCACAGCGCTCATCCCACCCACCCTCCCCACCTCTCCTCCTCCCACCCCTTCTCCCCTTTGGCCGCATCCCGTTGCCCCTGTGGCCTGCAATCCCCCTGATCTACGCACTACTTTGCCTTTCCCACTCTCCGCTCTCTTCCTATACCCTCGTCGTCCTCTGCTCCCTCCCTCCCTGTCGCGTCGCCTTCTCCAACCTGGACTCAAATGCATCCGCACACACACCCTGCATGCTCCAGCTTTCGAGTCGACTCAAAAGCTTGACTCAGACGCATCGAGTGGCACATGGCGCTGCTTCCTCCAGCTTTTGAATCAGCTCAAAGCCTAGCTAGACCCTCAAACGCATCTGCACACGCTGCTTGCTCGCTCCTGCGTAAAACCGAAAGCAGGTTGGATAAATATGGGATGCCTTCCTTCCAAGAGTCTTCCAATTCAAAGCGTGTTGTCACTGTCATATGTCAAATTGACTTACTTTCAAATTGTTCTCTCTCCATTGACTATCTCGCCCTGCCTGTGCGAACCCCCCCATGCCTGTGCCACCCCTCGGAGCAGGTTGCATCTGGGGGAGGCGATGACCATAGCAGGTCTCACAAATCGCACATTTGTCCTCACACACGTGGGCAGCAGGTGCGGCTGGCTGGCTGGCTCTTGCTTTAGCTGTAGCAGGTTGGGTAGCTGTAGCAGGTTGGGTAGCTGTAGCAAGTTGGGTAGCTGTAGCCGGTTGGGTAGCTGTAGCAGGTTGGGTAGCTGTAGCAAGTTGGGTAGCTGTAGCAAGTTGGGTAGCTGTAGCAGGTGGGCTGGCTGTAGCAGAGCAATCTCCCGTCCCGCCCCTCCCCTCCCCTCCCATCCCCCCTCATCCCATCCCATCCCCTCCCCTCCCCTTCCCTCCCATCCTCGTCCCTCTCTCCTGTTTGTCAGCCGCATAGGCATGGATCGCGACCTGACCTGCCTCTGTGCACGTACTTCAACATCGATAAGATCACGGAGGACACATCCATGGCCCCCCCCCAGTACTAGTGCACCTTTTATCCCTTCCCTCCCATCTCCCTCCCATCTCCCTCCCATCTGCCTCCCATCTCCCTCCCATCTCCCTCCCATCTCCCTCCCATCTCCCTCCCATCTCCCTCCCATCTCCCTCCCATCTCCCTCCCATCTCCCTCCCATCTCCCTCCCATCTCCCTCCCATCTCCCTCCCATCTCCCTCCCATCTCCCTCCCATCTCCCTCCCATCTCCCTCCCATCTCCCTCCCATCTCCCTCCCATCTCCCTCCCATCTCCCTCCCATCACCCTCCCATCACCCTCCCATCACCCTCCCATCACCCTCCCATCACCCTCCCATCACCCTCCCATCACCCTCCCATCGCCCTCCCATCACCCTCCCATCGCCCTCCTTCCCCCCCACCCCCAGCCGCATAGGCATGGATCGCGACCTGCCGCTGTGCACGTACTTCAACATCGATAAGATAACGGAGCACGGCGAGTGGATCACAGAGGACTACCTCGTGGGGGAGGCGCAGCGGCTGCAGCGCCCCCTGCGGCTGAAGACGCTCGTGCTGCACAAAGCACGGCACCGGTGCAACCGGCTCATATGGCGCCAGGTGGAGAGCGGAGTGAGTGGCTTGGAGGGGATGGCGGGTCCGCGGGTAGTGCTGTATATGGTAGAGGATGCAGCAGCTGTGTGTAATGAGACTATTTTTGAGTCGACTCGGAAATAGTCTCATTACACGTAGATGGTAGAGGATGCAGCGGCTGCATCGGCCGTTGCAGCTGAGGACTTTGATCTGATGCTGCTCAAGGCACTGCGCCGGGGGAACCGGCTCATGTGGCGCCAGGTGGAGGGTGGGGTGAGTAGCCTGGTTGGAACTGGCAGCAGGGTGAATGGTGAAGGGTTGGGGGATGGGGGATGGGGGATGGGGGATGGGGGAGGGTGAGTGACAAAGGGGAGGGTGAGTGGTGGACTGAACCTGGTGAGTAACATTATTCCACACCCCACCCCACCACACCTCCCACCACTCCCCCCCTTCCTCTCCCTCCTCCCCCTACCCCTTCCCAGGCGTCGTTCAAGGAGCATCCGTGGGCGCGCGACATCCTCTCCTTCCCCCAGCGCATCCGCTGCGTGAAGGAGGAGCACCGCCGCCACACGCAGGACGCCTCTGACGCGCTCCTGGAGGCGCTCAAGGAGGATGACGTGGCGGCCGCTGACGTCATCCTCGTGTACAAGCTCGCTGACGAGGCATACTTCCTCCCAGACGTCGTGGGGGTGGGTGCTGGGGGCGGGTGGAGGGGGTGGGGATGGGTGCTGGGGGTGGTGTGGGGTTGGGGGTGGGTGGATTGGGCGAGTTGTGGGGGAAGGTGGGAGGGTTGGGAAAAGGGGCGAGCATTGAGAAAAGGGGCGAGGGTTGGGGGAAGTGCTCATTATCCCTTTCCTAAACATTTGCCTTGCCAACTACACTTGCTCTCCCCGTACCTCCCCTTACTCTCCCCTCCCTGCCTTCCTGCTACCTGCCTTCCCCTTGCCCCTCGCCCCCTCGCCCCCTTGCTCGTCGCCACCGCCACGCCCACTGCCACCACTGCTCGTCCGTCCTCCCTTTCCTCCCCCCTTCCCTCCCCCGTGCCCCAGGAGGATTCCTGTCAGCAAACTGCTCCCCCTCTCCCCCCCACACCCCCCACACCCCCCACACCCCCTTCCTCTTTCTCCCCCCATTCCTTCTTGCTCCCCATCATCCCCCCCTCTCGCCCTATCCTCCCCCCCCATCCCCCAGCCCGCTATCCGAGCCATTGAGTTCGCCCCGCACCTCAAGGCCATAGCAGGCAGCATGACCCACACGCTCTTCGCCAACTCCACGCCTACTGCTGCCTCCGCGCCTGCCACCATTCCCAATAGCCTCAGGGAGCAGCTCAGGCGACACCCGGGGCAGGTGAGACCTACTGGCGACTTCCAGGTTGCCCAAAAGGTGAATTCGTTCTTTGGCACCTTTCGAGGCATCTGGAAAAACGCCTGCCTTTGAAAAACGCCTGCCTCGAATCCCCGTAGCCTCAGGGAGCAACTCAGGTGACACCCTGGGCAGGTGAGATTTGAGAGCAGGTGAGGTTTGAAGGCAGGTGGGATCTGAAGGCTGGGGGAATCTGAAGGCAGGTGGGATCTGAAGGCATGTGGGATCTGAAGGCAGGTGGGATCTGAAGGCAGGTGGGATCGGAGGGTAGAGTATAAGGTTGCCTCAAAGGATGGTTCTTTAGGTGCCTTTGAGGCATCTCGAAAAGCGCCGCCTCCATTCCCCATAGCCAACTCAGGAGACACCCGGGGCAGGTGAGATCTGAAAGCAGGTGAATTTTGAGGGCAGTTCAGTCATCTAGGTCGCGGTATTTGGCAGTGATTTCCCTTGACTCTTCCTCGTCCACGTTCCCTGTCGCCACACTCCTTTCGTTTCTCCCTTTTCACGGCCCTCTCCTCGCTGCCCTCCCAACCAACGCCCACAGAGTACGCTTTCCCCCTCCCCCTCCTTCCCCCCCGGGTGTGGCACCAAGTGGGGCAGCAGCGCACAGAGTACGCTCTCCTGCAGCCCACCATGAGTGCGCAACTCAACACGTTCCCTTGGACTGCCCTCTCCACTTCCCCCTCCCGGCTTCCCTTCCCCCTTCCCCCTCCCCATTCCCCCTTCCCCCTCCCCATTCCCCCTTCCCCCTCCCCATTCCCCCTGCCCTCTCCCCCCCCCCAGGGGCGGTACCTCGCAGTGCAGTGGCGCACGGAGTATGCTCTCCTGCAGCCCAGCATGACCACCCGGCTCAACACATTTCCCTTCTCCTTTGACTTTCCTTTTGCCCTCTCCCTCCTGGCTCCCCTTCCCCCGGGGCCATTCTCCCCCCCCCCAGGTGCGGTACCTCGCGGTGCAGTGGCGCACGGAGTATGCTCTCCTGCAGCCCAACATGACTGCCCGGCTCATGCTGCGGTGCACCCGAGGACTCATAAAGAAAGCTTGGACTGCCATTCAGGTGCGTGCCGGAGAGGGAGGGGGGGAGAGGGGCGGGGCTAGGGGGAGGGGAGGGGCGAGGGGGAAGGTGAGGGGGCGAGGGGGCGGGGGGGAGCGAGGGAGGGAGGAGAGTGAGGGAGGGAGGAGAGTGAGGGAGGGAGGAGAGTGAGGGAGGGATGGGAGCGAGGGAGGGGAGCAAGGGGGAAGGGGAGGGAGGGAGGGGAGCAAGGCGGATGGGGAGGGAGGGGAGGGAGGGGAGGGAGGGAGGAAGGGTAGCAAGGGGGAAGGGGGGGGAGGGGATAGTGAGTGAGAAAGGGGGGTGAGGGGATCGCGACGGAGGGGGGAAGGGAGTTTGATGGAGCGAGGGGGGGAGGAAATGCAAATTGATGCGGTCAGGAGAAGAGAGAAGATGGGTGGGGGGACGAGGGAGCATGCTTAAGGGGGGCGCTAGAACGAGCCCAACACGATGGCTCATGTTACGGTGCACCTGAGGACTCATCGAAGCTGCTTGGACTGCCATTCAAGTGGGGGGGGGGGAAGAGAGGGTGGGGGAGGGAGGGGGGCGATGGGGGCGAGGAAGGGAGGGGGTGACAGGGGGGTGAGGGGGGACAGGGAGGGAGGGAGGGAGGTAGGGGGCGAGGGGAAAGGCAGTCGGAGAGGAGGGAATGTCTCCTCTCTGGCATCGCTTGGGAAGAGGAGGGGGGAGGTGAAAGGGGGGGAAGAGGGGATGTGGTGGTGGCTGGGAAGGGCCACACTGCTGGGAACCGAGAAGATTTAGGGGGGTTTCCCACTTTGCTGTGCTGTGGGGAAGGGAACTGGTGATTGGCTGGTCGGTAGGGACTGCCACATGCCGCAGGGGCGGTATGACTTAAAGCTCTAACGCACCCATTTCCACTCTACTATATCTCCACATACTCTACTAGGCCTCCACATACTCTACTAGATGTGCACAGAATTGTTTCCTGGGCATCGACCTCCACCCTTCTTCCTCGGACATTGTATCCCCCTCCCCCCTCCCCCTGCTTTTGAGTCGACTCAAAAATAGACTCATTACACATGGACAAGGACCTCCACCCTTGTTCCTTGGACATTGTATTCCCCCCCCCCCCCTCCTCCCTCTGTTCCGCCTCTTCTCTCTCCCTTCTCTCTTCCATTCCCCTCCCGCTCTCTCGCTCCGCTTTTCTTTTCCCTTCCCTCGCTCTGCTCCCCCTCTCTCCATCTCTGCGCCATCAGACCAAGGGGCTGTCAAAGCAAGTGTTCCTGGCCACGGACATGCATCCGGACAGCTTATGAGGCACCATAAAAGGCTTCTTTCTTCTGCCTTCTCTCTGCTCCCCCTCTCTGTCTCTGCGCCGTCAGACCAAAGGGCTGTCGGATAGGGTGTTCCTGGCCACGGACATGCATCCGGACGGCCGGCCCGTCTCCATGTCCTTCTACGGGCTCGAGTTCCTGCAGCAGCGCATAGCCAAGCGCGTCATCCAGGTAACATGGTGACATGGCGACATGGTGGCATGGTGACATGGCAACATGGTGGCATGGTGACATGGCGACATGGTAACATGGTGACATGGTGACATGGCGACATGACATGGTGGCATGGTGACATGGCGACATGGTGACATTGTAACACGGCTAGCCCACAGTGAATGCACAACCATTCACCACATGCACTCGGATGGCCGCCCTGTCTCTATGTCCTTCTATGGCCTCGATTTTTAACAGCAGCGCATAGCCAAGTGCGTCATCCAGGTGGTAACTTGGTGGCATGGTAACATGGTGCCATGGTGACGTGGTGACATGGTGACATTCATGGTTACCCTGCAATAAGAGTGAACTCATTCACATGGTTACCCATGCATCTTGTGTTTCTGAGCAGTGCGCTTCGCCTGATCACTGTGCATTCTCCTCCTGAGCCGTCTCCTGTGTGCGTCCGTTTGTGTCTCATGACTTCTTTGGCTCTTTATTATGTGCGATTCCCATAGTGCTATACCTTCCTGCCTTGCTTTTGCATTCCTGCCTTGCGTCTCCTTCACTTTCCAGCTTCTGTACTCCAAGCTACAGCCTGTGTCATGGACTACAGTGGACCCTAAGTTCCCACAACTGGATGCTGGAGTGCAGGTGCTGCACCCTTTCTTCCCTTCCTTCCCTTCCTTCCGTTCCTTCCCTTTGCCCCTTCTGCCCCTACTCACTTGTTGTTCGAAGTTCCCATGTTGATCACTCTTGGCCCCCCCGTCTCTTCATCAAACTTTTCATAGTTACCTGCCTCCTCAGTTTGAGCCGAATCACTAGGATGCAGAAGTTGCTCTTTGGGCGATTCGCACTAATTTAGGGCGGATTTCCTATGACCTCGTGTCAGACCACCTCATGTCAGACTCATGCGGTCCTGCGCGGTGCACAGGCTTGATCTCGCAATTCGATGCGGTGCGTCTCGGTTCGTCGCGAGTCTGACGCAAGGTCGAGTCTGACGCGAACTGTAGGAATTTGCCCTCATTGTTGCATGTCCTCGTTCCCATTCACAATTCATTGTTCTTGCAGGGGATTCTGGACAAGCTGGTCTGCTTGAAGGCCACGTATTTTCTGTACCCTCCAGATCAGTGCGGAGGCCACAGCAGCAGTTTCACCAGGGACATTATTGGCAACAGGCGGAAGAATAGGAGAGCCTTTCCCAGTGAAGCTTGGAGTCTAGTGTAATGCCAATAACTGAAATGTTGTAAAAAGAAAATATTTGACGTAAAAAAAAAGGCATCCCTCTCTCCCATGGTTCCATGGTTCCCTATGTACCTATTATGCATGCACAGTGCGCTCGCAGCACATAGCATCAACCAATCTAGCCTCCAGGCAGGAAAAGACGATGTGAAATGTGGGTGTCATTCTTCTGTTTGAAGGGCTGAGGGAACTGGTGGTTGTTGTGGCATTGCTGCAGTGGTAGTGGTACTCTCCCCTTTGGACCACGTCCAAGGCCACCACCAACTGGCTTTGCCTCCGGAGTGAGAATTACCAGGCTCCAGCCCTGACTCGTGTCTGCTGTCATTCAAATGCTGAATCACAGGGAGTCTCTGTCGTTTGAGCTCTCCTCCAAGCTCGTCCTGATTCCGACCCTGTCACATGCATGGGAGAATTATTACAATCTTCGAGAGCAAACGGAGAAACAGGAAACGCACCTTCAGAGTGACTTACCACAGGCTCGTGCCTGGATGCGCCGTCCAGAGAAGCGACGGGGTTGTCGCCCACAAACCTGCAAGTCAACTCATGTTTTTAGAGACGGACGAGCTGGGAGCTCATCTTGGCCATATTGGGATCTCCACGCTCCCATTCCTACTCCAATTTACCTGTAGTTCCACTCGTAGGCAATGGCAGGTGATGTCAAATCTCCCGTGAACGGTATTCGCACAGCGTAACCAGCGAAAGCGCCTTCTTCGCCAAGAATTAAATCTCCTTCTTTCCAGGAAACAAGCGTCGGACAGTTAGCGGGACCGCTACCAGCTCCTCGTGCTTTCTCTGTAACCGAAAGGCTTAGTAGCATGATCTTAGCCTTTCCCCGATTGTGTATACCGAGAACGACGTGCCAATAAGGTCGGTTGCCGTTAGAACCTGCCTTTGGCAAGCAGAGGGTGGCATTTGATGACATCTCAACGAGCGGAATCGGGTGAGATTTCACCAAGTCGAATTTTCGTTTCGTTGCTCCAGTCGTTGTTCTCGAGGCTTCAGAGGAACCCTGACCATTGCCTGCAGCGCTGTGAGGTCTAGTGGTGGGCTCCATCAAGGTAAGAACATGTAGTCTCTAAGGACGAAGGAGCGGCCTGGAGGTCCCTGGGTCAACTTAGGAACTTGGCATAATACGTCATGGTCGCGAGGGAACGAGAAGGGTACTGGGATTCCAGAAGAATCTTCTTCGCCTTGCAGCCCCTGTGATATGGTTCCTGCGAGATGAAGGGAGGAGCTGCCATGGGGTACGGTGAGCTGTGGTAGGGACGGAGGTCTCTGGTGTGGTCCTCGGGATTTGAAATTTGGGAGGATAGTGGAGAAGGCTGTCAGTGCAGTAATTTCAAGGCACTGTACTGCACTGGCTCAAACGCCGCTGCTTGCTCTCGACATCAAAAGCTCCAGTTTCGCAAAAATTGCATAACGTACTGAAAGTGCACGGATATGGCTTCATTATTTACTCCATCTATGTAATCACTACTTATAGAAAACATGTATCTAGAAGATGTTCTTGCATGAAATTTATATCTATGAGATTAAAATTGATTCTAAAATTCTGATAGTTTTCAAACGGGAACCATCCGTGCATGATAGACGAAAGGTTGGGCTGTGTTGAAGTAAGAGCAACATGCCAAGAATCATTCGGTTCATGTTGAGTTGTAACGAAGATCTTAGCAACCAAGCATCTTTCCCCTTTAGCAATTGACTTCATAAGCTTTGACGATAGTCATTTTTTTCTGGCAAATAATGACATCCATTCCTTCTCTACGAAGCTCTTCACAAGCTGGTGTGTAAGAACAACAATGAGGATGAATGGAGATGTGATTAAATGGAGAAGCAAAACAAACACAACAATAGCCAACATACGTTTGTCACCGAGAAAGGAGGCATTGATAGCACTTGGGGTAACAAAGCAGGCACTGAGAGACACACGAAGATCAATATATGAAGTGATTGAGAGAGGGATGAAAGAGATGCATAGGAGGGGAGAGAGGGACGGAGAGCGCGTGAGGAAGGGGGAGTGGTTGAGCAAAAGGGAGCGCGAGGGTGAGAGAGTGAATGAGATGGGGGGTAAAAGGTTGGGAAGCTAGAAAGGGAAAGGTAGTAATGATTGAGGTGTACCGGTAGCTGTTGAAGCCTCTTTCATTTCTGAAGGTAAATTTTGGGAAAGGGTGACATGGGTTGGGTTGGGTTGTGTTGGATTTGTGAGGGACACAGGAGAGAGCGGGGATGATGCATGCTGATGGGTTGGCTCAAACAACCACGTTCTCCTCAGTTTCAAACTGGGTTGCTTTGCTTGGTTCCTTGGTTGGTTTCCTCCCATCCTTCCCTCAACGCCAGCACACAGCACAGCAGCGCAGCATACTAGACAGCAGCACACAGCACAGCAGCGGGTGACGGGCACATCCGTGAAGCCCGAATTCAGGAGCGGGAGGAGCGGGAGCTCATGGAGGTGGATTCGAGTGACGAGGCAATGGCGTGTGAAGCTGCTGAGACGCACGCTGGCGGCAGTGATTGCACGCTCGTGCAGGCTGCTGATACTGACGGGCCGTCGGCGTCATCTCCTGTCGAAGCAAGGGGTGGTGATTGCGAGCCTGCTGCTGACGGGGACGTCTTGATGGACGGAGATGGTGACGTGGAAATGGGAGACGCTGACTCGGACGCTGACTCAGGTGCTGACTCAGACGGTGAGTCGGACGCTGACTCAGACGCTGACTCAGGTGCTGACGCAGCAGCAGCAGCGACAGAAGCGACAGAAGCGTCTGCTGCTGCTGTTTCACCTGACCACGAGCTTGCTGTACCTGAAGACGCTCATGCTTCTGACCGTGACGGCCGGACTACTGCTGAAGGCTTATCTTCTGGAATCGAGGCTCCGTTGTTGGATAGCCGTGGAGCTTCCATGGCGAGTGGAGCGTGCGAGGCGGAGAAGAAGCTGGAGCGGAAGAAGGAGGCGGATGACGATGCAGCAGCAGCGGGAGGAGTGGTTTCAGAAACAGAGAAGGGGTTTGCTGCAGGAGGAGAGGCAGCAGGAGGGGGAAGAGCAGAAGCGGACGAGGCAGTGGGAGAGGAGGAGGGTGAAGAAGAGGAGGAAGAGGACGAAGAGGAAGAGGAAGAAGAAGAAGAGGAAGGAGAGGAAGGAGGAGGAGAGGAAGGCGAAGAGGAAGCGGCAGAATCGAACGAATCAGAAGCAGGAGCAGAGGCGGAGTCAGCAGAAGAAGAAGGATCCGAGGCGGAAGAAGCAGCAGCACAAGAAGGGGCAGAAGGGGGGGTAACAGAAGCAGACGAAGCAGACGAAGCAGACGAAGCAGACGAAGCAGACGAAGCAGACGCGGACGACACAGCAGTAGCTGAACTGAGAGGCGCGGAGGTAGCAGACGCAGGGAAGGCGGAGGGAGAAACGGGCGCATTGCTAGCAGACGCGGACGAGACAGAAGAGAACGCAGCAGCAGCAGCAGCAGCAGCAGCAGCAGCAGCAGCAGCAGCAGCAGCAGCAGCAGCAGCAGCAGGAGGAGGAGGAGGAGGAGGAGGAGGCGCAACAGCAGCAGAAGTAGAATCAGTGTGTGATGCTGGCGCGGATCTTACTGAAAACGCTGACGAATGTGCACATGACGCATATGAGCAGGAGGACACTGACGCACGCGCACAAGCAGAGGTTGAAGGAGACGCGCCAGGGGAGACTAGGGATGGACGGACAGACGGACGGGGTCCAGACAAGGCACGGGCCGTGGACGAAATAAGGGTTGAAGGCGAATCAAGGGTGGATGACATAAGGGTTGAAGGCGAGTTTAAGGAAATAGGCGATTCAAGGGTTAAAGACGAATCTAGGGAAATAGGCGATTCAAGGGTTGAAGACGAATCTAGAGAGATGGACGATTTAAGGGTTATTGACGAATCTGGAGAGATGGACGAGTCATTGGTTAAAGGCGAATCTAGAGAGATGGACGAAATAAGGGTTGGAGGCGAATCAAGGGCTTCAGACGAAGCACCAGTCGCAAGGGTCGCTGACGAAACCATGGCTGCTGCAGACGCGGTAGACGCTGCAGACGCTGCAGACGCTGCAGACGCTGCAGACGCTGCAGACGCTGCAGACGCTGTAGACGCTGTAGACGCGTCCAAGGTTTCAGTTTCAGAGGACATTGTGTGCCAGGGAAACGCGCTAGTGCAGGCGCGACCAGCTAGGAGGCGGAATAGGAGCAGGGGCAAGGGCGCGGGGACCAGGAGCAGAAGCAGAAGCAGCAGAAGCAGAGGCGGGGGGGCGAAGAGTGTGGCAGTTTCAGCGGGTGCGGGAGAGTTGGAGAGAGGGGAGGAGAGAGGGGAGGAGAAGCGAGGAGAAGGTGAGAGGGAGGGGGAGTTGGAGCAACGTGAGGAAGAGGGGGAGAGAGGGGGAGAGAGAGGAATGGAGGACGGGAAGGGTGGAGGTGCTAATGGGAGTGGAGGGGGGTCGAATGGGGGGAGACAGATTGGGGGGAATGGGCATTGTGGGGCGAGTGCAGAGGGGAGAACGGATGGTGGGAGAAGCGAGAAAGAGAAGGAGCAGCATGAGAGTGTGGGAGGTGCGCAAGACATTGCGACGTGTTTAAAGGTGAATGGGCTTTCAGGGCAAGGGGTGAAAACGGTGGGGGAGGCAGCAGAGGAGGCAGGGAGGCCTGAAGCGGAGCAAATGTCGCCTGGGTCACCTGAAGAATCACCTAAACCGCCTCGGAACACACCAGGGTCGCCTCAGAAGGTACCTGAACTGCTGCAAAGGTCTCCTGACGAGGAGGAGAGTAATGTTGTGGTCATGGAGGTGAGCGGAAGGGGAAGGGGAGCAGAGGGGAACGGAGCCGGATGGAATGAGGGAGAGAAAGAGGGGGAGAAAGAGGGAGAGGAAGGGGAGCAGGGGGACAGGATGGAGATCGATGTGATGGAAAAGGTGGTGGGAGGGGCCACTGGCAACATCAATGTGATTGTGCAGAGTGACTCCAATAACGAGGGTGCGCGTGCGGGTGTGGTCGCGGGTGCGGGTGCGAGTGCGGGTGCTCCTGTGACGGGCCCGGGAGGGGTTGCTGCGAGTAGTGGTGGTGATGGGAGTGGGAAGGAGGACGAGGAGAGGAGTGAGGGGGAGGGGAGGAAGGCCGGGAGTGGGTCTGATAGTGGGGTGGGAGGAGGCAGGAGGCGCAGTATGCGTGCCAGTGCTGTCCTTGCAATGGCTAGGATTGCTGGTGCTCCTCGCACTGGCAGAGGGGGAGGCGGAGGAGGGGAAGGAGGTGGGGGAGGAGGAGGAGGAGGAGGAGGAGGAGGAGGAGAAGGAGGAGGAGCAGGAGGTGGAGGCAAGCATAATAATTGCCATAATCACTCTCATTCGCAAGCCAAGTCTCAGAGTGTGGAATCGGGAGCAGGAGCAGGTGCGGGAAGAGGAGGAGGAGCAAGAGCAGGAGCAGGAGCATCAGCATCGGCAGCAGCAGGAGTAGCAGGGGCAGGTGACATGGACGTGTGTGTGAGTGGGCTTGCAGTGGTGAACGAGCCGTTTGAGCTCCAATTTAACTCCCGCATCTGCCCTCTCACAGCTGCTACTGACTGCGCTGGTGCTGGCAGTGGTGGTGGCAGTGGTGGTGGCAGTGGTGGTGGCAGTGGTGGCAGTGGTGGCAGTGGTGGTGGGGGTGGTGGGGGAAGCACCTCTAGGCCCGGATTTAAATATGCAGCAAGGGCCACAGCAGGAGCAGGGGGGGGGGAGGAGAGCCGGAATACGGCAAGGGCACTTTCCCTTGGCCGGCGATGGATCAATGGTACTGGGAGTGGGGACTGGATGAGTGGAACGATAGGGGGGGCCAAGGGGGCGCTATTGCAGCTGGTGTTGGTGTTGCTGGTGGTGCTGCTGGGGGGGGGATTCTCAGTGGGAAGAAAGGGATAGGTATTGGAATTGGGGGGAGACGGGCAGGAGGTAAAGGGGGGCCGCATGGGGAGGCGAAGAGTAAAAAGGAGGGGGAAGTGGCTTGTAGGGTGGTAGAGGGGATGGAAGGGGTGATAGGAGGGGAAGCAGGTGCGGCCACAGGGATTGCTGCGGTTACAGGGGTTACAAGGGTTACAGGGGTTACAGGGGTTACAGGAATTACAGGGGTTGCTGCAGTTATGGGGATAGAGGTGGTTTCGAAGGAGTGTAGAAGTGTGAGAGGGAGTCTAGACCTATCCGACGAGGCGAAACGGCAGCAGCAGAAAGAGCAAGGGGAGAAGAAGAAGGAGCAGCAAAATCAGCCGCAGCAGCAGCACCAGCACCAGCAGCAGGAGGCAGCATTGGTCCCAAAGTACATCCTCCGGGGGGTCAGGGCCACGAAACAAACCGCCAAGCCCCCTGCGCCCCACCCAGGGATGGTCGGCTCTCCCCCACCTCCTGCACCCACCCCTGCTCCAACCACCCCTCTTCCTACCACCCCCACTCCACCCACCACCTCTCCTCCACCCGCCCCCGTCGCCCCGCTCCCCCCCTGCTCTGTGTGCAAATCCCCGGAGGACGCCACCTCTCTCCTGTGCGACGCATGCGATGCCTGCTACCACCTGCGGTGCCTCAATCCCCCAGCAGAGGAGCCGCCAGCAGGGGACGAGTGGCTGTGCGAAGCATGTATGGAGGAGCAGTGGGAGCGCGGGAATGCAGTGGTATTTGAAGACGAGGAGTTATGGGAGAGACGGCAAATGGTGGGGGTGGATGCGGGGGGGAAGGGGGGAGTGGGGGGAGGGTTTGCTTGGGAGTATGACTGGGAGGCGGACGCGGAGGGGAGATCAGGGGGGGCGAGAATGGGTGGGAGAGTGAGGGGAGGAGGGGATGGGGAGGACGGGGAGGAGGAGGAGGGGAAAGGTGGCGGAGAGTGTAGAGATAGAGGAGGAGAAAGAGGAGGAGGGGGAGGGGGAGAGGTAGGGGGGGACGGAGGGGAGGAGGCGACTGGGAGAGACGGGCAGCAGCAGCAGCAGCAGCAGCGGCAAGAGAAGGAGGGGGTGCATTTGAAGAGCCGGGGGGGGATACGGCCGTTGGAGTCGGGGCCCGGGGGTAGGGGGCAGTGGTTGCTGAGGGGTGACTGGCTGGCAGCGCAAGGGCATATCCGAGTGGGACCCATGTTCCAGGCTATTGTGGGGGAGTGGATGGGACCTCTGGTGAAGAAGGAAGAAGAAGAAGGAGGACGAGAGGATGAACGCCTGTACGTGCTGCTGCCCACAATTTGCTTCTTCTCTGGATTTTCCTTCCCCTCTTCTTCCCCCCCCCCCCCCCCCTCTCCCCCCTTCCACCTTGCCCTTCCCCCCCCTGCCCACCCCTCCCCGCCCCCACAGCGTCCGACCCCCTGCCCTCCCCTGCATCATGCTCTCCTGTATCCCAGTGCCACGTCTTCCTCTCCCGTTCACCACCCCGTCAGTGTTTACCCCTGTCAGGGATTTACCCTTTTCACCCACCCTCCCGCCCACAACCACCCTCTCCTCCTCCTCCCCACCCCCTCCCCCCCCCAACCTTCTCTTCCCTCCCTTCCCTTCCCGTCCCTGCTTCCCGTCCCTCCTTCCCCTCCCTGCGTCCCGGGCCTTCTAGCAGCGAGAGGCCTCTATTTGGGCAGGAGAGGGCGCTGAGCGCAGGGGAGAAGGAGGCGGAGCTTGAATCCATGAAGCAGAGGCTGGCAGAGGTACGACTGGTGCAGGTGCAACTGGTGCAGGTGTGACTGGTGCAGGTGTGACTGGTGCAGGTGCGACTGGTGCAGGTGCGACTGGTGCAGGTGCAACTGGTGCAGGTGTGACTGGTGCAGGTGTGACTGGTGCAGATGCGACTGGTGCAGGTGCAACTGGTGCAGGTGCGATGGGTGCAGGTGCGACTGGTGCAGGTGTGACTGGTGCAGGTGCGACTGGTGCAGGTGCGACTGGTGCAGGTGCGACGGGTGCAGGTGCAACTGGTGCAGGTGTGACTGGTGCAGGTGTGACGGGTGCAGGTGCGACTGGTGCAGGTGCGACAGGTGCAGGTGCAACTGGTGCAGGTGTGACTGGTGCAGGTGTGACTGGTGCAGGTGTGACTGGTGCAGGTGCGACTGGTGCAGGTGCGACTGGTGCAGGTGCGACGGGTGCAGGTGCAACTGGTGCAGGTGTGACTGGTGCAGGTGTGACGGGTGCAGGTGCGACTGGTGCAGGTGCGACAGGTGCAGGTGCAACTGGTGCAGGTGTGACTGGTGCAGGTGTGACTGGTGCAGGTGTAACTGGTGCAGGTGCGACTGGTGCAGGTGCGACTGGTGCAGGTGCGACTGGTGCAGGTGTCACTGGTGCATGCCCTCATGGTCGGGCTTGAGATGTTTAGGGGACTCATATTCTGGATTCACCCCTCTTATCCCGGGCTTCTTTTGGGAGTATCAGTGTAGTATCCTGCTCTTACAGTGCATTAGATACTTGAAGGCGATTCCATCCCAATCCCATCCCTCTCTCTCCTCCTTCTCCTCTTTCTCTGCCTTTCCCTCTTTCTCTACTTTCTCCCAAAAACCCGCCCCCATACTGTGTCGGACTTCCCATTTGCCCCCCAGAGCAAGTGGCCATTGGACTGGCAGCCGGTGCGCAACCTGCCGGTGGCAGCAGAGGAGCGGTGGGAGCAGTGCGAGCAGCACTTATAACTGACTCTATCCCCCTCTTCCCCACTCCCCCATTCCCCCTTTCCCCTCTCCTCCTCCCCTCAACCCTCTCACCCGTCCTGCCAGAGCAAGTGGCCGCTGGACTGGCAGCCGGTGCGCAACCTGCCAGCGTCAGCAGAGGAGCGGTGGGAGCAGTGCGAGGGCATTCTGTTCTACGAGGGCGATGTGCGGGCCGATGGGAAGATCGCTCGCAAGGACATGGAGTGCGGCAAGTGGCGGAGGTGAGAGGGAGAGAGGAAGGGCGCGTGAGAGGGAGGCTGGGGGGTTGGGTGGGTGGGGAGGGATGGGATGGGAGCGATGAGAGCAGTGCAAGGGCGGGTAGCAGGAAACAGACAGGGGGAGTGGATTATTTGGCTCCTGTTCCCCCCCCCCAAAACCCCCCCTCCTTGCTGCTCCCGCTCACAATACGGTGGCTGTTTTTTTCCTGCCGTGGCTGTCAATTATTTTTTTATTTGGAATCCTCGAGAATGAACTTACCACGACATCGAGACTGAGCTTTCTATCATGATGCCGCCACAGTAGTGTGTCTAGCTTTGAGGCGCCTCAAAAGTAGTGGGTCTAGCATGACTACTTTTGAGTGCCTGCCTCAAAAGTAGTCTCAGTTCACATCGAAACCGAGCTCTGTGCTGCCGCCACAGGGGCAGCGTGCCTGGCAGGATGGGATTCGACTTCTGAGACACAAAAAAGCAATGAATGACTCGACATCGGGTCTGAGCTTTCTATCGCCATTCAGGGTTCAGTGGACCCAAAGAGGAGCAGCGCTCACGAGAGGAGCAGCGCTCACGAGAGGAGCAGCGCTCACTCGCTACCCCCCATGATGTGCCTGTGCTCCTACCACCCACCAACACGATAAGGTGCCTAGTGACTTTGAGGTGGAGGTCTAGGTTGAGTGAACCCAAGAAGCGCCTCTCACAGGAGAAGCGCCTCTCACAGGAGAAGCGCCTCTCACAGGAGAAGCGCCTCTCACAGGAGGAGCGCCTCTCACAGGCTGAACCCCATTATGTGCCTGTGCTCCTACCACCCACCAACCCAACAGGGTGCCGAGTGGCTTTGAGGTGGAGGACAAATTCGAGTGCTCCTGTGCGCTCACCTTCGACCCGCACCACGCCGACTGCATGGTGCCGCAGGTGCGTTGCACTTTCGCCTCCTCCCCTCCTCCCCCTCCTCCTCCCCCCCCTGCTCGTCCTCCCCTCCTCCTCCCCCTCCTCCCCCTCCTCCCCCTCGTCCTTGTTGTTGTAGGTGTGTTTTGCGAACCCTCAATGCACGCCTGCTCTTGTGCTCTTGAGATCCGCCTGCTCTCGTGCTCTTGAGAGTGGGATTCTTTTGACGTGTCCGTCTCAAAAGAGAATGGGCTGCTCTGCGCCATGCCATGCTGCATCGTTGCCTTGCCCTCAATTGTGTTCTCTTGCCTTCCCTCGCCTTCCCTTGCCTTCTCTTGCCTTCCCTTCCCTTCACTTCACTTCACTTCACTTCACTTCACTTCACTTCCCTTCCCTTCCCTTCCCCTCCCTTGCCATGCATTTCTCTTTGGCGTTTGATTCGACTCTTGGCCCAACACTGACTGCTCATCCTGCACCTGTCGTATCTCTCAACCCCGCTTCCTCCCTTCTCCAATCTCTCCTCCCACCTTCCCTTCCCCTCTCCCCTCTCACCTCCTTTCCTCCCACTCCCCTCATCCCCCCTTTTTTTTAACTTTCCCCCTTCCCCACGCCCCTCCACTGCGTTCCTCCTCAGGAGCTACCCAAGAGGGACTTGGAGAGGCGGCTCAAGATGATATCCGAGCTCAAGGCACAGGTCAGTGACCATTCTGGTGCTATCCCTGCAATGAGTGATACTTCTCTTAGTACTCTGACAACAGGCCAGAAACTCCGCAAACCCTGCACTGCGCACAGGTCATCTGCTTTTGCTGCAATGCTCACAGGTTTGAGGTGACCACCGCATATTATTTTATCAGAAGCAGCAGCAAGAGATAGCTCTTGAGTGCATGAGGCTGCTCCACTTAATCACACTCTCTTTCCTCCTCGCAACTGCACACTCATACCCACTTGACACTCTTCTCCTGCCTTCCTTCTCCCCCTCTCTCTCCCTCTCTCCGTCCCTCTGTCCTTCGCCCTGTGCCCCTTCCCCTGCCGCCCTCCCCCTCCCCCACCTCCCCCTGGGCGGTCCCCACAGAAACAGCAGCAGGGGTCGGAGATGGGGGAGTGGAAGGAGCGCATGGGCGAGCTTAGGGCGTTCAGGGCGCAGCAGGGGCACTGCCACGTGCCCCCCAGGAGTGCGCTGGGCGTGTGGCTGCAGAAGCAGAGGACGCTGCTGCGCCGCAACCGACTGTCGGCCGTGCAACGGGTGAGTGGGTGGGAGGTTGGATGGGTGGTTGGGTGGGTGGTTGGGTGGGTGGTTGGGTGGGTGGTTGGGTGGGTGGGTGGTCGGGTGGTTGGGTGGGTGGTTGGATGGGTGGTTGGGTGGGTGGGAGGGTGGGTGGTTGGGTGGGTGGGTGGGTGGGTGGGTGGGTGGGTGGGTGGGTGGGTGGGTGGGCGGGCGGGCGGGCGGGCGGGCGGGCGGGTGGGTGGGTGGGTGGGTGGGTGGGTGGGCGGGTGGGTGGGCGGGCGGGTGGGTGGGTGGGTTGGTGGGTGGGAGGTTGGATGATGAAGTGTTTACGGCTGCGGGATCGACTGCCTGGCAGTAGGGATGGTCTGGTGGGTCATGTGGATGGCTGTGTGGGTTCCTGCACAGGCAGAGGACGCTGCTGCGCCACAACCGACTCACCCTCCCCTCCCCCCCTTCCGCGCCCTCCCGTCCTCCCCTTCTCCTTCCTCCTAAACCTCGCTTCCCCCCTCCTCCCAAAAAATCGCACCTGCAGACGCTGTAGGAGCTGGACATGGCAATTAGCTTCTAGATGCGTGGTGGGAGGAGAGACCTTCGACTCAGACCCCTTGCTCTCCCCTCCGTCCTCCCTTTCCTGCTCTCCTCTCTCTTCCTTCCCTGTCTCTGTTCTCCTCCCAGTCCCCTCTTCCCTCCTCTCCTCCCCTTCCCCCTTCCTCCTAACCTCCTCGTCCCCCACCCTCCCCAACCGTCCCACTAGGAGGTGCTGCAGCAGCTGAACGTGGCGATCAAACCTTGAGGAGGCTCGGTGGGACCGTGGAAGGAGAACTTTGCGCAGCCCCGTGCTCTCCCCTGCCCTTATTCCCCTTCTTCCCCCTCTTCCCCTTCTTCCCCTTCTCTCTTCTCCTCCTAATCCCCTCTTCCCTCATCTCCAAATCTCCTCCCCTACCCCACCCTCCCCAGGAGGAGCTGCAGCAGCTGAACGTGACCATCAACCTGGAGGACGCGCGGTGGGAGGAGAACTTCGCTGCTCTCATTGACTTCAAGCGCGACTACGGCCACCTGGACGTCGCCGCACCCCACCCGCTCACTAAGCCGTCCACTGCTGGTGCTGCTGCGGCTGCCACTGCTGCCACTGCCACTACTCCTGCTGGTGCAAGTGCTCGTGCTGCTGTTGGAGCAGGGGGGGCAGCAGCAGCAGCAACAGTAGGAGCTGGCGGTAACGGCGGCAGCAGCGGCAGCGGCAGCGGCATTCCCAACAGCAGCCAGGCGCAGTCGGGAGGGAGATTGAGGCGAGCGCAGGACTTAGCGCGGCTGAACCAGTGGGTGAAGGCACAGAAGGTCATGGCTCAGCAGCCATTCAAAGGGAAGAAGGCGCTGCAGCGGATCTGCCGACTGCTGGAGATTGGATTCGTTTTCTCTGAGGGCGATTCGTCCTCCTAGGGACAGACTAGGGAGGGGTGCCATGCCGTGCCGTGTCGCTGACACGTACGAGTACCGGGCGGTGTTTTCGAACTAGTTCGGATCACTCGTAGCTGAAGGTGTGGGGTGGGCCCTATCTCAGCTAAAGATTGTTGGGCCTCGTGATGGATTGTGGGTGATTTGTTTCAGTCATTGGGTTTTCGTCCAACCACAAGCTTGACATGCTAGGCTTACTTTGGCAGAACATCGCATCCTATGGTACTTGGCATGTTGCATTCAATTCCCCAAGGGTAGTATTTAATTGCAGTACGTTACAAATTTCTAACCGATGCGTTCATACTGTTGGAATACTATAATGGTCAGAAATGAGAAAGAACAAGGGAGATATGGGGTTTTGGGTTGTACTCTCTAAGAACACACACCTATTCTAGCCTACAACTTCTACATGCACAAGTATGTATAAGTTGACACACCCCCTAGGCTAGATAAGGGGTAGTGCTGAGCAAGAAACACGCAGCTCAAGGTGGCACTACTAGTCCAACCTCTGACGCAGGGGTCCGAAGACCAGTCAGCAAGAGTACAAACACGACACTACAACTCCGACCACTGGAGGAAAAGCCACAAGGCCAGTCTCAAAGATATATATAAGCAGAGTACACAATCAAGGTCCTAGCAAGTGAGAGTCTACAGGAACTAGACCAAGCTGCAAACAGTGCCGCTGATGATCTTTAGGCGCAAGCGCCTTAGTAAAGATATCAGCTTTGTTGGCACCAGAGGCCAAGTGTACTACGTGCGCCTGGCGACGCTGCTGCAGCTCGCGCAGTAGGAAGTACCGCAGCTAGATGTGCTTCGCTCTGCCCTTCAGTCGAGGCTCCTGACACAGAATGATCATGGCCCTATTGTCAGCATACAAAACCAGGGCAAAGCTAGGCCGCTCACCTAAGTCGGCGAGCAAGAAGGTCAGCCAGCGGAGCTCCTGCGTCGCCATGGCCCCAGCGTAGATCTCAGCCTCACAGCTAAACTGGGCAACCGACGACGAGCGAGTGGACCTCCATGAGATGGCACCTGAAACAAGGCTAAAGTAGTAGCCCTGAGAGGACCTAAGGGTCTCAGCGTCGTCTGCCCAAGAAGCGTATGTGTGCCCAGCAAGGACCACCAGCCTGCGTCCTCCTAGCACTAGCCCTATGCCCGATGTACTCGCTAGATAATGCAAAACCCTCTTAGCGGCCGACCAGTGCTGTGGTCGGTGTCTGCCTATGGTCACAAAGCTAGCCAGGATGATGAGAGGGTATGCGAGATCTGGACGAGTGCAAGTCATCAGGTACATGAGGGCACCCACCAGCTCTGCGTAGGGACCACTGGGCTCTTCTGACTCTTCAGGAACTTGAGCCGAGAGCCTGTTGTCTACTAGCAGAGCTGTGGGCTGTGTAGAGGAGAACTGAAGACCGAACCTCTGAAGAACCTGGCGCAACAAGTGTGACTGTGTGAGAGTGATAGTGCGCTATGCTCTGTCCTTAGAGATCTGCACGCCAAGGTAGCGGCCCAGCTCTCCCAGGTCAGTATAGGTGTGTCTCCTCAGCAGCTTGGCCTTTACAGAGGCCAGCGCGTTTATGTCTGTAGTAGCGAAGACCAGGTCGTCTGCATAGACAAGGATGTAGAACGGAGTCTGGCCAGCACGAACCAAGAGCGAAGGGGCTGCAGAGGACGGAAAGAACTGCAGGTCAGCTAGCATAGCACGCATCGTGTCGTGCCACTCACGGTGTGCCTGTCGCAAGCCGTAGACCGGGCGTCGGAGGAGCCACTGGGTCCCAGGAGGGAAGGTACCGGTGAAGCCCTGCGGTCGACGAAGGTAAACCTGCTCGTGTAGGCTATCCTCACCAAAGGCAATGGAGAAGTCTAGGGAGTGGAGCTCGTAATCACGATGTGCTGCTACGTGTTGCAGTGCCCGAAGAGTAGTCATCTTCGGGGTCGGGGCGAAGGTCTGAAAGAAGTCCACCCCCTCTCGCTGACTGAAGCCTCTAGCCACTTAGCGCGCCTTGAAGACAGGCGGCTCTCCAGGGGGGCGCTTCACTTTGAAGAGCTATCGGCCATCGACTACGTTCACCCCAGGTGGGGAACTGCGTCGACGTAGGTGCCGGTGGATCTCCAAGATACCATCTCTTGCTCCATGGCAGCTATCCACTGAGAGGTCCAGCGTCCCGAGGCCGCCTCAGCGTAAGTGCGAAAGATCGGGATGTCAAAGGCGTCTGGGTCACCCTCAGGGACTAGCAGTATGGAACAGAGATTTGGAGCAGCCTCGGACAAGAAAACAAGCTCGTATTGCCTGTCCTACAGGACGTCACTGCCAAGGAAAGGAGCACCCTCGACGGACGGAGGACGGACAAGGTCAGAGACTAGAGCGGTGGTGTAGTCAAGGTGGCGAGTGAAGGCAAAGTCTGTGACAGCAGCGACAAGAGCGTCAAGACTGGAGACAGGTAGAGACAGTTCGGTAACGAGGAAGGCAAGGACCCGAGGAACAAGAGGACGAGTTGCACGAAGGTAGTCAGACGGAGGGGGAGGCGCGACAGCGAGCAACGATGGAGGAGGCGAGGGCAGGAGGGGTGGACGAGACGCGTGGGAACGAAGCAACATAGGGTGAGAACGCTGAACAGGGGAGACAGGACGAGCACGAGAGGGACGGCGAGGCCAGACGTGAGTCGGAAGCGTCGGGTCAGGAGACAGAGGAGGAGTATCAGGAGGGGAAAGAGGTGGAAAACGAGCCGATGACGAGTCTGGTGGTGGAAACACAAGACCGCGGACAAGAAGGGGAGGAGGTGACAGGGGAGGCGCAGGCAAGTGGTCAAAAGAGGGAAGGCCGAGCAGGATAAGGGCGGAAACCGGTGGCGACTGCTGCTGCTACTGCTTGACGCTGACACCTGGACCGCCAGCTGCACCGCGGCTACCTCCGGAGCACTCCACTCGAGCACCCCCAGAACGAGCACCCCCAGAGAGAGAACCCTCTCCAGCACCGGTGCCACCTCTGAGCCCTCTGGGACAAGCCACGACAGGAACCCCGTGACTAGCACCCTCCTCAATGCTAGCACCCCCAGAGTCCACAAACGGCTGCTGCGAAGGCGGCGGCGGCGACTGCGACGGCGGAGGAGGGGACGCCGGGGGAGAGACAGGCAACAAGAACTATGCCGCAGGGCCACTAGAGTCAGCCGACTTCTCGATCGGGACAACCGACGGGAGGGGAGTGACGTGCGACACACCAGACAGAGCAGGACGGGGAAGAAGGTAAGCAGGGGCTACCTGGGGAATGGGGAACAGAAACAGGGGAGGGAAAACCGGGAGACCTTGGTGGGGAAAGCTGTGGTAAAAGGAGACAAATTAGTCGAAAGTGGTGTCACGGGAGTGAAAGGAGCGATAAGACGGCGAGTGGTAATAGTGCCAGTCAGAGGAGTCCAGGAGGAAACCGAGGAAGACACAGGGGACAGTGCGGGCACTGAGCTTGTCTGTGCCAGAGGCATGAACGTGAGCGAGGCAGCACCAGATGTGGAACGCGGATGCGTCACCAGGGAACCCGGTCCAAAGAAGGGTCGGCGAAACCTGCGGCCTTTGAGAGCGCGGCCAGAGGGTAAGCTGGTAAGCGGCGTAGCGAACGGAGAACGGCCACAGAAAATGGGGTGCACTGAAATGAATCATGGAGGTACGAGCCACCTCCATGACCAAGCTGATGTGTCCCGTAATGACCCCATTCTGCTGCGGGGAGTCCGTTAGGGTGTACGACTGGGTGATGCCCTCCGCACGACAGAACTGTCCAAGCCGACCAGGGGCGAATTCGCCGCCACCGTCAGAGTCGAGACACAGCACAGGGAGACCGCTGTGGAGTCGCGCAGCTACGACCCACGGGATAAGAACGTCAGGCATGTCGGCCTTTCTCTCCAAGGGAAACACCATGGTGTAGCACGTGTAGTCGTCAATGAGCACGAGGAAGTAGTGCTCGCGACGCGGTCCAGGGACGGGGGCTCGGCACCAGACGTCCTCGTGCAGGGACTGGAGGGGTGCGGTGACAGGGCAAAGCAAGGAGGAGTGAGGAGCACGCAGAGCCAGCCCTCGACGCAGGGCATGCACGGCGGCGCAGGCGAGGGAGGGAGGGCAGGAAGCGACGCAGGGAGACCTAGGAGGAAACCATGCTGGGACATGTGACGCAGACACGGGAGCGCAGAGTGACCTAGGCGGTGGTGCCACAGAAGGGACGGATGAGTGAGCGACCGACACGAGCACGCAACGGTGGCCTGGGTAGATGTAGGACCCGGGGGGGACGGTCCAACCAGGAGGGGGGGCAGTGTCCAGCGTAATGAGGCCAGGCACCGGGTCCCGGGGGAACCTGAGGCAGTCTCGGTACAGACGGCGTACCGCTCATGACCCGAGAACATAGTGGAGACGCCGAGGTCCTAAAGACAGCCGACACCAACTAAGTTCCGGGAGAACGAGAGGATGTGCAGGCCTGTAAGGGAACCCGAGGGAACCGCTCGACAGGGAAGTGTAGTGTAGCTGCGAACAACTACAGGACCAGAGGAGGGGTTAGCAAGTGCGACAGCGGCAGGCGCGGCAAGCGGCGTAAGCGCAGTGTGGTCGCGGAAGAAGCAGACAGACGCACCGTTGTCAAGTGTGAAGGACAGTGAAGCAGAAGTGGCAGCCAAAGGAGGAGCGAGTGTGGAGCCTAGTCTAGACAAAGCAAATGGTCCTATGCCTGATGCAGCAGAGGAGGCTGGACTACAGACAGGTGCTACGCCTAAGCTAGCGAACATAGGGTAATAAGATCCAGACACACTAGAAGAGTCAGCATACAGAGAATGCAGGGCAGAACTAATCTGATCCATGTCCAAGTAAAAAACAGGCACACCGTGGCACAGCAGACTGGGCCAGTCGAGGAGGTCCGGGGCCGTGCCGAAGTGGCGACGGAAGAGGTCGTCGAGGCGGCGGAAGCAGCGGGCGGTCGTGTGCGGGCGGCTGCAAACAGTGCCACGAAGGGTCCCAGTCTGGAGCTGGTACTAACAGCCCACATCACTGAAGCCGCCGGTAGATGCCGAGCTGCGAGGATCGCCACCTCGGCCACCACCTCCAGGGGCTCCAGGCCACCCCGGCAGGAGGCGGGCCCACGGCTGCTGCTGCTGCTGTGGCTGCTGCTACTGCTGCGGCTGCAGTTGCTGCTGCTGCTACTGCTGCGGCTGCGGCTGCGGCTGCGGTTGCTGCTGCTGCTACTGCGGTAGCGACTACTGCTGCTGCATTTGCTGCGGCTGTTGCTGCTCCTTGACACCTGCCCCTGCCCCCTCGTCAGAGCCACTGTCACCACCACGACGCCCTCCCTTGGGGCCGCGACGGCCCCGACGATGTCGCTGCTGCTGCGGGAACGCCGTCGCTGCGGTCTAAGTGGCAGGAGCGTCCGTAGCGACCGCGGCGGACACGTCAGCGTACGTGCACTAGGAGGGAGCGTAGCCCTGAATGATGGGAACTGCCGCAACACCGCTTGACTGAGCGATAGTGCGCTGGCGAGTATCTATCTCAGAAAGGGCAGTGACAAAGGCGGTCAGGGTGAGGTCACCAGGATGCTAGCTAAGGAGGTGATCGCGTGCAGTGGCTAAGCGGTAAGGTAGGCGCATGGCAATAAGGTACATGGTAGCGCAGAACGGCGGGGGGGAGGTAGCGAGCTGGGCAGTAGTGCTAGCAACGCGGTAGCTAGTCTCTAGTGCACGGAGGTGAATGACAAGATCAGCGAAAGTAGCGAAAGCAGAGAGATCGGGGAAGAGGATGGGGAGGATCAAGCGGCCAACTGAGGCGTAGGCAGGCGTGGAGTAGCGTGCAACTACTGCATCTAGGAAGTCTTTGGCGTTTGCTAGAGCAGTGAAGCGAGGACGCTCAAATAGGGGAAGTGCATGACTAATGGCAAGCTGCGCTACGGCATCGCGAGAATCCCAGACAGCGCGAGCGAGCGCAGCAGCAGGAAAGGCCTCACTCTCAGCAGTGGTTGGGTCAGCAGGGAGGGGAGCAGGCGCGGGGGGGCGAGGAAGCAAGCCATCAACATGCATAACCAGGGAGTGCCCATCCTGACCCTGACCTGTCAGGTGCCGGCGAAGATCGACAAGCCAGGCGGCGATGTCGATCGCGTGCCCTTCCGCGTCCAAGCGTAGCATGGCGTCCGACATCGCGCAACCGCAGGTGCACCTGGACACAGCGGCACTGGGATACGGGTACTCAGCTGCACGGCGGTGCAGCGGCGTGGCGGCAGCACTCTCCGAAACGGAGACCGGGCGGACAGCCGAGGAGAGCGCAAGAGGGCCGAGATGCACGAAGGGCCGGTCAGGCGCGGGAAAGGCTGGGCAGGCGCGTGAGGCCAGCGGTGCGCAGGAGAGGCCGGCTAGGCGGTAGGGGCCAACTAGGCACAAGGGGCCGGCCGGGTGAGATGGGCCGGCTAGGCGCAAGGGGCTGGGTAAGGCGCAAGGGGAGGGCGGGTACGCTAGGGTCCAGAGGACGCGCTAGGGGCCGGGGAGGCGCGGTAGGCTAGGGCGTGGGGCGGAAGTGGGTGGGTGGACCTAACCTACCCATGATACCATATTATAATACTAGAATTGTTAGAAATGAGAGAGAACAAGGGAGATATAGGGTTTTGGGTTGTTCTCTCTAAGAACACACACCCATTCTAGCCTATAACTTCTTCATGCACAAGTATGTATAAGTTTACCCATACTACTCTTACTAGCATGTGTTTCCCTACCATGATGCTTTCACATCCTTTAGACAAGCTTTCTATGATTCATGAAGTTTACAATATAAGCCCTGATTTCACCTGGTAGTCGAAATCGTCTATGTATTCGTGTTATAACATGACAGCCAAATGACACCCGTGTCCCCGCGGCAGATTTTGGTAAGACTTGGATTGACTGGCGCAATTATTTGCCGTGGCAGTCCCCGTGGGGACTCCTCGAAATTATTGTTGACCTCCGTTCGTCGAGGTCAGTGCCGAGGGTTGCGGCAATTTTTGCCACTGACTGCTCTAACCAGCACACGTGGCAATCATCCGCTGGTCTCTCAAACAATTGTCCCCCTGCGGCGGTACGAAGCACCACTTATCCAGCACTGCTGCTCGCAGCGCCATGCGTCTCGGACGGCCTTGCGCTGTGGGGGGGTGTGGGGGGAGGGGGAGAGGGATAGTCCGAGTCCGATCGGACCGTCAGGAAAGCACCATCTCCCAGAAATGCAAGCTGTTTCCCCCTATTCGCCGCAAGTCCGGCGCGCAAACCCCTTCCGCAACAGCGGGTTCGGGGAAACCCTCTCAGGTTGCGCGCACGGAACCCCCCTCGAAACCCACACGGGCATGGTAAACGTCTCCGCAACTCGACACACACGCCTCTCCTGCAAGCCTGCGACCAAGAGGTGGGGGGATTCGGGGAACAGGGGGAAGGGGGGGTGTAGCGTGCATGGGAAGGATTCTTGCTGAAACCAGTTCTGTCTGGCGCTGCTCCTTCCCTCCCAGACCAGCTCACCCATCCCAAACCATTCTAACCCATCCCAAACCATTTAAACCCATTTCAAACCATTTCCCCCAACAAGCACCCATCCCTCCGAAACGAACCAACCATGCCCCTCATGCCTAAATCGAGGCGCGTGTGGCAGGCTTGCTTGCTTCCACTATACAGGGCAGTAATTGCATGCAAGGCGAGGGAGAAAACTCTGGGTGGTGGGGGGACCCAACCCAACCCAAGCCAAGCCTCTGGGCATGTATTCTAGTCTTACCGAGACACTCCATCAGGAAGAGAATCTCCTTTTTTCCCTAGATCCGACTTTGAAGACTATTATTGTCCCGTGTATTCAGTGAGAGACATTTGCCCACATTCGAGCTCCGTTCGTGCCGCTGCTCCAAGAACGCTGCTTCCCTCTCTATTCCACCCGCTAGTTAATTTTCTTTTCTTCACCATTGTTATGGGTTCCGCTCTCGACGACCAGACGCTAGTTCATTCCGCTGTCGAGAACACTAGTTAATCTCGTGTTGGCAGTTACAGAGCCATTCGTCATCAGACCACGAGAGCCAGGAGTTTAGGAAAACGTCGTATTGGAAAGTCGACAGAGCGCAGAGAGGCAGAGAGGCAGAGAGGCAGACTTGACTCTTGAGTCCCACGACGCTCTTGATAGACGCCAACGCTGACGTTCTCCCCTTTTTTTACGTTCTTGCACGTTTTCGCGTGGGGCTTAGAGCCCTTAATACGCTTAAGTAAGCGCAGGGCAGAGTCCTCGTTGCTCCGACCAGATCCATGGGCGGCAACGGGTGAAATACGTCGAATCAACCCGCTCCAACGTTCCGTGCCTATTGGGACATACGGGCAACGTGCCGGAAAGGAGCCGGCTGCAGCGGCTGGTTGACGAGTCCGACTCGTTGCCCGCGGGGACGGTGTTAGCAGGCGGGGCCGCGCTGTTAAAGAATATGACAAAAACGGGCGGAGGACCTCCAGGGCATACGCCTGCGACTCCGTATTTTACGCCGCCACATTCGCCGCCGCCTTCTGCGCCGTTTTCTGCGCCGTGTGACGTGGCGAGCAACTCCGCTCGACAGCGGCCAGCACGGCAGCCTTCGAGCTCGATAACGCGGCAGCGGCCTTTCAGAACAACCACCGTGCCTTCCGAACAACCATCCTACTACGTGTCCGTTTGGCGGCAACTCCAACTCTACCCTGCTTCCGCTACTACTAGTACTACTACTACAACGATGACCGCTCCGCCAGCAGTCGCGCGGCGGCGTCCGCGCGTTCCCCTCGCTCCGCTCATGCTCGCGCTCATGCTGCTCGTGATCCCGCTGGCCTCCCCGTCGTCCGCAACCGCCGCGGCGGAGAGCACGCGCGAAAGCCGCGGACGCCCGCGCTGGTTCTGGCGGAACACGCCCGCGCCCGGCGGCGGGGGCTGGCGGGAGCTCCCCCGCGAACGGCGGAGATGGACGGATAAAGCAGCGCCGGAGGAGGAAGACGCGCCGCCGCTGGAGGTGAATTCCCCGACGAATCTACGGGCGACGAATCCGCTGTATCCACGGGTGGCGACGAATCAACGGACGACGATGAATCCACGGGCGGCGATGCACTCACCATCGGAGTATAAACCGGCGGTGAGGGTCGGTTCTCGTCAAGGGCTGCGGCTGCCGTGGGGGAAGGCGCGGGCCGGCCCCGATGCCATCATTGAAGTGCGGTCGTTTGCGCCGAATGCGGAGGCGAGGGGGAGGAGTGTCGAGGAGGAGGACTATGCGGAGCGAGGAGGAACCGGCGACTCGATGCGAAGGGGACCGGCGGGGTCATGGGACGAGGGGGGTGTGCGGCCCATTTGGCCTAGTAGGCGTAGTAGGCCTAGTAGGCCTACTCGTATGCATGAAGGGGCAGATCATTACGAGGACGACCGGTTTTACGAGGGGGAGAATGACCGAGATTGGACGGATTCCGTCAGTTCGTGGACGGAACGTGACGGCTGGTGGGCGCCGAGTGATTTTAGTGCTGGGGTGGAGGGTGACGCCGTCAACGCAGCCGGCCATGGGTGGACAGAAACTGACGGAACTTTGACGGAGCGCGGGCCGCGTGACTGGTCAGAGCAGGATGCGGCAATAAACCGATGGAAGCAGGCACCACCAGAGGAGTCTGACGCTGACGGAGGACGTTTGTGGACGGAGACGGACAACGACTGGCAGACGGATTCCGTCAGCGAGCTGGCGGACGGCTTCGTTTACCGTCAGGGCAGCGACGAATCCGGTGACGACGAGGGGAGTCTAAGTTCGTGGGCAGACGAAGTATGGGAGGAGGAGGGGGAGGAGGAGGAGGAGGAGGAGGAGGAGGAGGAGGGGAAGGGGGAGGAGGAGGAGGGGGAGGGGGAGGGGGAAGAGGAGGAGTCAAGAGAGGGAGATGCACTACCAACGAGGGGCGAGGAGGAAGAGAGGGACGTGGCGGTAGTAGCGAGAGGGCGCGGGGGAGTGCTCGGCGGGGGGAGAAGCGGAGAAGGAGAATTGGCGCCGTCAGCGGTGTGGTTCCAGCAGAGCCAGAGCCGGCGGAATGGCGGCAGGAGAAGTGGAATGGGGGGGAGAAACGGCAGGCGAAACGGCATGCGAAACGACAGGCGAAATGACAGGCGAAACGGCGGACGAAACGGCAGGCGAAACGGCGGGCGAAACGTGAAGAGAGATGGCGTGAGGAGCGGCGGCAGCAGGAGCGGTGATGGTGTGGAAATGACGAGGGAGAGGCGAGGGCGCGCTATGACAAGGCGGAGCCAAACACGAAAGTCTATTTTTGAGGCGCCTCAAAAAAGGGAGCGGCGAGGGCGCGCTATGACAAGGCGGAGCCGAACACGACAGCTCGACGCGAAGCACAGGGACACTGCTGGTGGCGGCGGTGGTGGTGCGCCTATGGCTGCCGGTCTAGCCTCTGCTGGTGCAGCAGCAGCAGCAGCAGCAGCAGAAGCAGGAGCAGGAGCAGCAGGAGGAGGAGGAGGAGAAGGGAGCAGCAACCTTCTGGTTAACCCGAGCTTCGAGGAGGTGTCGTCAGCAGCAGACGGCCAGCAGCCCCTGGGATGGGCCGCCAATGGTACTGTCTCCGTGCGCTGCCTTCTTTCTGCCAACAGCAGCACTTCCAGTGCTGGCAATCGCACCGCCACCAGCAGCAGCAGCAGCAGCAGCAGCAGCAGGGGGAGCAAGAGCGGGCCGAGCTACAGCCTGCCTTCCGCCCCTATTGCGCCGGCTCATGGCCGCTGCGTCGCCCTCCTTGCTGCCGGCTGCTCTCTTCACTCTCTCCCCTCCTCCTCCTCCTCCTCCTCCTCCTCCTCCTCCTCCTCCTCCTCCTCCTCCTCCTCCTCCTCCTCCTCCTCCTCCTCCTCCTCCTCCTCCTCCTCCTCCTCCTCCTCCCCCCCCCCCTCCCCATCGCCCTGTCACGGCTCCCTATCCCAAGCAGTGCCAACAGTCCCAGGCGCAACGTACCTCCTGCAGCTCTCTATTGCGCCCGTTCCCCTGCCCTTCGCCCCCCCCTCGCCCTTCTCCCTGCAGATCCTGCTGGGGAATCAATCGGTGCTGCTGGCAGCGCAGGGCGGACGGGGGAGTGGCGGAGGGGGGAGTGTCGGAGGGGGGAAGGGGGAGGAGGGGGAGGAGGGGGGGTAGTGGGGCAGGAGGGGGAGAGGGAGGAGGAGGAGGAGGTGTGGGTGGTGGCTTCTGGAGTGGCTGGCTCGATTGGATCCCGAACTTAGGCTGGGGATTTCACCAGGCGCCAGGAAGCTCCAGCACACCTCCTGCTGCTGTTTCTGCTGCTGCTGCTGCTGCTGCTGCTGCTGCTGCTACAACCGGTTCTGCTGTAGCACCTGCAGCAGCACCTGCAGCCTATGCAGCAGCAGCAGAGGCGGCGCTGTCGTTCCATGTGGCGTGGGTGCAGTTCGTGGCAACTGAGGCATCAACGGTGGTGACCTTGATGGTGGAGGGTGGCAGGAATGCAACCATGGTCGATGCATTGTCGCTCCTGATGCTGCCGGCTGGCAGTGGTGGCAGTGGTGGCAGTGGAGGGAGTGGTGGGAGTGGTGGAAGTGGTGGGAGTGGTGGTGGCAGTGGAAATATCACAGGTACGCACACACATACGTGCACACACATGCGCGCAAGCACACCTACTCACAAACACACCGAGGAGAAACATTGAGTTCCCTTCCACTTGCCTTCCATACCTTCTTAATCGTTCAAGCCTCCTCGTCTCCTTCCTTTCGTGAGGAGTCTATTTTTGCGGCGCCTAAAAAATAGACTCCTCATGCGAGAGCTTGCGTTCCCTTCCACTTACCTTCCATGCCTTCTCGATCATTCAAACCTCCTCTTCTCCTTCCTTCTCCTACTCTCCCCCTCCCCTCCCCTCCCCATTGCCACCACCCCAACAGGCACACCCCCACTCCTACAGTTCCCTCCTCCTTCCTCCTACTCCTCCTCCTCGGGCTCTCCCCCGCCTTTCATTCTCTCAGGTGATGTATCCCTTGTCAACTCCACCTCCTCCTCCTCCTCCTCCTCTGATTCCTCCCAAGGCCCTTCCGCCGCCTCAATTATCCTTGGCGGGAACAACAGCAAAAGCAGCAGCAGCAGCAGCGGCGGCAGCAACAACAACAGCGGCAGCGGATCGATTTTCTATGCCCAGCCGTTCTACATCCTTCCCAGTTTCGGCTCTGATTCTACTCCGAATTCCTCCCTCTCTTCCGCCTCACCCTCCTCCCCCTCCTCTTCGTGCAACGCTTCCTCCTTCTTCACTTCCTTTACCTTCTCTATCAGCAAAGCAGCCCCCTCCTCTTCCTCCTCCTCTGATTCTCCTCCCTCCTCCACCCCAGCACCACCCGACAGTATTGCTCTCGTCTTCTCCCCTCTCCCAACAACCACTCCCCTCTGCCCCATCGTCACCACCACCAACTCTTCCCCTGCCTCTACTTCCCCCTCGTGCCTTTGCTTCGGTGCAAACTCCTCCTCCTCCCCTTCCTCCTCCTCCCCTTCCTCCTCCTCCTCCCCTCCCTCCTCCTCCTCCCCTTCCTCCTCCTCTTCCTCCGCCTCCCTCTCCTCCCAACTCTTGGCTTGTCCCCCTCGCCTCATAATCCAAATCGACACTTGGCCAGCTAAATCTAACAGCAGCAGCAGCAGCGGCGGTGGCACCAACAGTAGCAGCGGTGGCACGGAGGGAGCGACAGCAGCAACAGTAGGTATCGGCAGCATGACCACTTCCACGCAATGGCTCGCTTTCAACTCCACTGCTGCACTGCTCTCGCCTGCTGCTCCTGCTGCTGCCCCTACTGCCACTGATGCCACCGCCGCCACTGTTGCTGCTGCTGTTGCTGCTGCTGCTGCTGCTGCTGCGACAGATGTGACAGTATCGGTGGAGTACTGTGCACAACTGCAGTTGGTAACAGTGGCTATCAACCTGACTCCGCCCCTCTTGTCACCAAACGCTGCAAGCAGCAGCAGCAGCAGAAGCGAGAGTGGTAAGGTTTCCCTCATTCCGTCTTGCCCAATGACTTCTGCTCTCACCACCACCACCAGCGACAGCAGCAGCAGGACAGCACAAGTGGTGGTGAGCGCACATGTGAACCTGTGCGAGGTCATGGCTTGGTCCACTAACAGCAGCACCAGCACCAGCAGCAGCAGCACCAGCAGCACCAGCAGCAGCAGCAGCAGCAGCAGGGATGCACGCAGCGTGCTAGCTTCTCCTTCCCCTCCTTCTCCTGCTGCTGCTGCTGGTTCCGCTGCTGCCGTAACAGCTGAAGCGGACAACACAAGCCAGCCTTCTTCCTCTTCCTCCTCCTCCTCCTCCTCCTCCTCCTCCCCAATGCCCCTCTTCCTCGGGCTAGCCGCATCGTCTGGCAGTGGCAGCAGTGGGGGTGGCGGTGCTGGGGGTGGTGGCGCTGCGGCCGGGAGACAGTTCATCGTACACACTTGGATGGGCGCAGGTGAGTGAGAGCAGCTTTGGGGTGGGGTGGGGGCTGCTTTTGAATCTACTCCAAAGGCGCGTCTGCGGGTAGTAGAAGGGTGCAGTAGGGGGGTGGTGGTGCCGCTGCCGGGAGACAATTCATCGTACACACTTGGATGGGCTCAGGTGAGTGAGAGCAGCGTGAGGGTGGGATGGGGCCTGCCTTTGAATCTACTCCAAAGGCGCGTCTGCGGGTAGTAGAAGGGTGCACTCTTGGATCGTGCACACCTGACGGGCGCAGGTGAGTGAGAGGAGCGTGGAGGACGAGATGGGGGATGGAGTGAGGACAGGTGATGGAGTGAGGACAGGTGATGGAGTGAGGACAGGTGATGGAGTGAGGACAGGTGATGGAGTGAGGACAGGTGATGGAGTGAGGAATGGGGGTGAGGATGGGGTGGGTGATGGGGTGGGGTGAGAGTGGGTGATGGGGCGAGGGTGGGTGATGGGTTCAGTGAGGGTGGGCAAGTACGGATGAACGATGCCCTATTGCTAGGACTCAGAACCCGTTGCTACTTCATGCCACTGCTTATTCCTCTCACTGCTACTTCACGCCACTGCTACTTCATCTCACTGCCTACTTCCTCTCACTCCTAACCAACCACTCTCTCTCCCCCTTCCACTCATACCATGTCCTTCCATTCTCAAAACCCTCCCCTCCCTCGCTTCCACACCCTGCACTCCTTGCACCCCCTCCACTTCATGCCATGCCATGCCATGCCATGCCCCGCCATGCCCTTCCCTTCCCTGCCATGCCCTGCCCTCCCCTGCACCAGACACCATCACAGTACTCAACTCCACCAATGCCCCTCCAAACGGCGGAGGGAGCGGGGGGGACGGCAGGGATACCGCACCTCCCTCGGCCCCTCCGCCACCAGAACCATCACCACCACTACCACCAGCACCACCATCACCAGCACCACCATCACCAGCACCACCAGTACCAGTACCAGCGCCAGAACCAGCACCGGCATCAGGATCCTCCGTCAGCACCAGTCCATGGCTCATCGCGACTATAGCCATCGGGGCATCGCTCATGGTGGTGCTGGGGGCCATTTTCCTCGTGCTGCTGCTGCGCCGCAGAGCCCGCCATAGTGGTGAGTCCTCGTCCTTGTGCGTTTCGTTCGGGGTTCGAGTCTGGTCTTGTAAGTCCCAGAAGGAGTAAAATCTCCATGGACGCCTTCCCCAAAGGACATAGGCCCGTCGCTCGTGGTGGTGGTGCTGGGGTCCATTCTCCTCGTCCTGCTGCTGCTGCTGCTGCTGCTGCTGCTGCTGCTGCTGCTGTGCCGCAGAGCCCGCCACAGCGATGAGTCTCGTTGCGTTTCATCCGAGGTTTGAGCCTGGTCTTGAGAGTCTCGGTAGGACGCCCGCCCCACGAGGCATCGGGGTGTCGCTCGTGGTGGTGCTGGGGGTTATTTTCCTCCTCCTCCTGCTGCTGCTGCTCCTTTTGCGCCGCAAAGCCTGGCATAGCGGTGAGTCCTGTACGGTTTTGATCACGGCGTCTACGTGTGCGTCTGCTGCTGCTGCCGCTGCCACTGCCACTGCCGCTGCCGCTGCCGCTGCCGCTGCCGCCGCCGCCGCCGCTGCTGCTGCTGCTGCTGCTGCTGACCCCTCTCTCTGACTCTTCCCATCAATCCTCATGCCTCTTCTCCCTGCGCCCTACCTCTCACCGCTGCAGCACGCGTGGCAGGAGGCATCGATTCGGGGGATGCTCCTAGCTGGAAGGGGAAAAAGGAGGCGTATGGAAGAGACGGCGTAGCCTATGGCGTGGCAGGGAGGGGGATGGAAGGGGAGGGAGCGGGAGGGGTGGGAGGGAAAGGAGGTGGAGGAATGGGAGGGGAGGAGGAGGGGGAGGAGAAGGGGGAGGAGGAGGGGGGGAGGAGGGGGAGGAGGAGAAGGAGGAGGGGGAGGGGGGGTTGCAGTGAGAATGTCGTCACCCTTTGAGATGGCTGCCAAACGTATTGGGTCAGGAATGCAAGGTGGGCCGCCGGTGGGGGGTGACGGAATGGGGCTGGGTCACGCGGGAATGGATGGCCCAGGAGGAGGTATGGGCGGAGGTATGGGCGGAGGCATGGACGGAGGTATGGACGGAGGTATGGGCGGAGGCATGGACGGAGGTGCGGGGGCAGGAATGGGCGGAGGAATGGGGGGGGGAATGGCAGGAACGGGAGCAGCAGCAGCAGCAGCAGCAGCAGTGGGAGTAGCTGGAGCAGCAGCAGCCGTTGCAGCGGGAAGAAAGCCCCAAAGCACAGACCCAACCCATCCACCCGGCTCAGCAAACGCAACAGCAGCAGCATCAGCAGCAGCATCAGGAGCAGGAGCAGCAGCAGCAGTAGATGTGGGATTAGCACCCATCCCACTGTCTCCCGCCCGCACCAGCAGCAGCGGCACCACCTCCCCTCTCCGCCTCTTCCGCCTGGCAGAACTTCGCCGGGCCACGGCAAGCTTCCACCCGCGCAACCTGCTATCTCGGCAGCTAGAAGCAGCCAGTCAGGATGAGCAGGACCCAGATGCCCCTTCCGTCTCCCGCAACCCCTCATTCAGCTTCCGAGGCATTGCAAGGGATGGCGGGTCTCTCGGATCTAACGGCTCCTCTGGCTCGTTTGGCTCCCTTGGTGGCAGCGGCCGGGGGTTGGGGGGTGGGAGTGGGAGGATGGGGGGGGAGGGGAGCGGGAGGGAGGGCGGCGTGGTGGCGGGGGCGTATGGGGACATGTATGCGGCGCGCACGGACGGCGGGAGCGCGTGGGCGGTGAAGCGGTTCAATGCGGAGGCGCGCGCGGGGGACGCCGGGCCCGAAGCCTTTGGGAGAGAGGTACGTGGGTTGGGAGGGAGAGGTGAGGCGGTTGAGAGAGAGGTGAGGCGGTTGGGAGAACGTCTGGCGCGCACGGTGGGACCGTGCTACGAGTGTGGGGAGCGCCTGGTGGTGCATGACTGTCTGACTGATCTGCATTCGCCTCTATTGGAGGTCCCCATGTCAGCCGTCTCCTCTCACCCTCCACCCCTCTCCATTGCTCCCCTTTCTTTCTCCGTGCTCCCCTCGCCCTCTCCGTGCTGCCCTCACCCTCCCAGGTGGCGGTCTTTGCAGCCATATCGCACCGGCGCCTGGCGCGCATAGTGGGGCTGTGCCACGAGTGCGGGGAGCGCCTGGTGGTCTACGACCTGCACTCGCCCCTCTCCTCGCTCTTCTTCCGCCTGCACCGCGCTAGAGGTATGCTCGCTCGCGTCCGCCCACCCTCAATACCCCATCCGAGGTGACTTTTGAGTTGACTCAAAAGTCCGCCCACCCTCAATACCCCATACCTCCCTTCGCCCCACCCGTCTCCTCTCGCCCCTCTCCTCGTGATAGGAGTCCTAGTTTTGAGGCGCCTCAAAAACTGGAGAGCCATCAGGGTTCAGTTTTGAGGCCCCTCAAAACTAGACTCCCATCCGTCCCTTCGCGTCCGTCCCTTCGCCCCACCCGTCTCCTCTCGCCCCTCTCCTCGCTCTTCTTTGTTGGAGGTGGTTCGCGCTTGCCCCTAGTCAACGCGTGGCAGCGCTAATAGGTGGCGTAAGCTGAAGACTACATACGGGTGTGCTAGGTGGTGAGGGGCTGCAGGGTTACATGTTGGAAGGAGGAGGTGTTTGGGACACGCGGAGGACTTGTGAGCGATGAGCAGAAATTGGTACAGTGTCGCGGTGTTCGGAGGAGCAGAAACGCGGTTCGGTTACATTGTGTGAAATGCGGTTTGGATGTGCGCTACGCAATGTAATGTGGCTTAGGGTTTTTTTTTTTTTTTTTTTTTTTTTTTTCGCGTAGCGCACATCCGAACCGCATTTCACACAAAGTAACCGAACCGCGTTTCTGCTCCTCTGAACACTGCGACACTGTACCAATTTTTGCTCGTCGCTCACAAGTCCTCCGCGTGTCCCAAACACCTCCTCCTTCCAACACGTAACCCTGCAGCCCCTCACCACCTAGCACACCCGTATGTAGTCTTCAGATTACGCCACCTGTTAGCGCTGCCATGCGTTGACTAGGGGCAAGCGCGAACCACCTCCAACATTCTTCTGCCTGCACCGCGCCAGAGGGGCGCTCGCGTCCCCCTCTCTCGCTCTCTCCCTCTCCACCCCGCTTCGTCGTCCCCCTCCGTCTCCCCCCGTCCCACTCGCAACCCCCTCTCAAAATCTCGCACCCTCTCTCACCCTCTCCACCCGCTCTACCCTCTCCCCCCCCTCTACCCTCTCCCCCCACCCCTCAGTGCACTTCCTCACGGCGCAGCAGCGGGTCAACGTGGCCATATCCCTGGCTGAGGGGCTCTCGTTCCTGCACTTGCGCTCGCCCCCGCTCGCCCACCGCAACGTCAAGCCCGCCAACGTGCTGCTGTCGCCCAACGCACACCACGTACGTGCCCCTGGCTGGCTGGCTTGCTTCCTTGCTTGCTCTGCTTTGCTACCACCAGCATACGGGTTTCTTTTGAGTCGACTCAAAAGTCACTCCGCCGCTACCACGAGCATACAGGTTTACTAGGAGTGGGCGTGCTCCCACCGCAACGTGACGCCTGCCGCCAACGTGCTGCTCTCGCCCAACGTGCACCATGCACGGGCCTCCTGGCTGGCTGGCTGGCTGGCTGGCTGGCCGGCTTGTTTCGTTGTTTGCTCTGCTACGACCGCCATGTGTGTCCAGTCTGGGTACGAACACCTAACAGGGCTATCCGCAGGTGTGCCTCAGAGTTGGGTCATGATATGTCCGCCCGCACCTCCCCATTCTCCCGCACCTCCCCATTCTCCCGCACCTCCCCATTCTCCCGCACCTCCCCATTCTCCCGCACCTCCCCATTCTCCCGCACCTCCCCATTCTCCCGCACCTCCCCATTCTCCCGCACCTCCCCATTCTCCCGCACCTCCCCATTCTCCCGCACCTCCCCATTCTCCCGCACCTCCCCATTCTCCCGCACCTCCCCATTCTCCCGCACCTCCCCATTCTCCCGCACCTCCCCATTCTCCCGCACCTCCCCATTCTCCCGCACCTCCCCATTCTCCCGCACCTCCCCATTCTCCCGCACCTCCCCATTCTCCCTCACCTCACCAGGTGACGTTAGCGGACTTCTGTTTTGTGCACACCACCCCTCTCTCCTACATCCCCATCCCCATCCCCGTCCCCATCCCCATGGACAACCACTTTTGTTTTGTGCACCCAGTGCAGGACCACGTCATGGTGCCGGTGCCGCTGCATCCCTCCCTCCCTCCCTCTTCGCCTCTCCCCCCTCTGCCCCTCATGTTTCTCACCTCTCCCTCCCCCCCTTCCCCCTTCCGAGGTGAATTTTGAGTCGACTCAAAACTCCCCCCCTCCCCCCTCCCCCCTCCCCCCTTCCCCCGCACCAGGCGAAGCTAACGGACTTCTGTTTCGCGCACCCAGCGCCAGACCAGGACGGGGTGTCGGTGCCGCTGCACGCCCAGGACGAGGGGTATGTGGCGCCTGAGCTGCTGCTGCCGCCCGTGCTCTCCTTCTCCCCGGCAACGGATGTCTACAGGTGAGCAATTGGGCATTAGCGGTTGGGTTGACCCCCAGTAGCTTCCGTGGGTAAGAGTGAGTCACTGCCGCTGCTGCACGCGCAGGACGAGGGGTACGTGGCGCCCGAGCTGCTGCTGCCGCCCGTGCTCTCCTTCTCCCCGGCCACCGATGTCCACAGGTGAGCTACTGAGCTCTGGTGTAAACCAAACCTACTCCGTACCAAACCTACTCCGTACCAAACCTTCTCCGTACCAAACCTACTCTGTACCAAACCTACTCTGTACCAAACCTACTCCGTACCGAACCTACTCTGTACCAACCCTACTCCGTACCGAGCCTGCTCCGTACCAAACCTCTCCCACTTCTCCCAATTCTTCCAATTCTCCGAATGCTCCCATGTGCCACTGCCCCCCTCAGCTTCGGCGTGATTCTCCTGGAGCTGCTCACGGGGCGGCTGGCCGTGATGTCGGACCCAGAGGACCCCCAGGAACGACTCGTCATCACCGACTGGGTCAGTTGCTGCTGCTGCTGCCCATGCTGCTGCTGCTGCTCCTGCTGCTGCCCATGCTGTTGCTGCTGCTGCTGCTGCTGCTGCTGCTGCTGCTGCTGCTGATGATGATGATGATGGTGCCAATTGTTACTGTGACAGATGCCTCCCCTGGAGCAAGCCCCCTGCTCTCACACTCCACCGCACACTCACCCATTCCACCCCACAACTCACCAAACTACACCTCCCAAACCAACCCCCCTTCTCCTCCCTTACTCCCTACCCCTCTCCCACCCTCCGCCCTTTCCCCCCATCCCTTTCCCCCCATCCCCGTTCCCCTCATCCCCCGTCGCCCCATCCCCCTTCCCCCCTCCTCTCCCCCCAGGCCGTGCACTACATTAACGAGAACCAGGTGGACCTTATAACGGATCCGCGGGTCTTCACCCCGGCCACAGCCCCTGGGTTCGCCGCGCTGGCCCTCCTAGCAACCGAGTGCATCCACATGCCCTCGGTGCGCCGCCCCGACATGCCCTCCGTGCTCCACCGCCTCATGGATATCCGGAGGAACGTGTTTGGGTTCCCGTCTAGGGCGCCGCCGGACCCGGGGTTTACTGGGGATGGGGAGGGCGAGGGCGGGGGGTTGAGGGGCGGTGGTGGTAGTGGCAGGCTGGGGAGAGACGGGTTTGGGAGCGTGAGGAGGGGTGGTGATGGGGGAAATGGTGGTGGTAGCGGTGGTGCTGGTGGTGCTGGTGATGGTGTTGGTGATGGTGACGGTGGTGTATATAGTGCGAGCACGCATGCGGTAGCATCGAGCAGGGACGAAAGATTCCCTACCGAGGCGATGAGTGGGGCGGTGCCTTTAGTAGGTCTCGCCGCACTCGCTGTAGGAGCGGGTGGAGGAGACACAGAAGAAGAAGTGGAAGAAGAAGCAGGAGGAGAAGCAGGAGGAGAAGCAGGAGGAGAAGCAGGAGGAGAAGGAGGAGGAGGAGGTGAAATGCCGCAGGGAGAAGGGTTTGGGTCACCTGCAGCTGCAGCAGCAGCAGTGGCAGCCGAAGCAGGACCACTACCACTGATCACAGAGGAGGCCTCTGAGGATATGGTAGAGGCGAGGAGCAGTGGCATGGAGGCCAGTTACCAAGCACCTTCCGACGGAGCAGAGGAGCTGTATGGAACGGAGGAGGAGGAGGAGGAGGAGGAGGAGGAGCTATGTGGAGTAAGGGAGCAATCTGAAATGGAGGTGCTGTCTGAAACTGGGGAGCTGTCCGCCATGCCCAGTGCTGGCCTGTCGTCCAGTGTGAGTGGGAGCATCACCAGTGACATGAGTGTGGAGCACTCTACTGTGGAGCAATCCGATGGAGAGCGATTCAGTGGAGAGCAATACAGCAGGGAGCTATTCAGTGGGGAGCAGTCTGTTGGAGAGCTATTCAGTGCGCAGCAGTCCCTTGGGGAGCAGTTGAGTCTGGATTTCAGCAGCATAGAACGAGTGACTTCGGCGCCCGATGCTCACTCCTCGCCGTTCTCTGCTGCTCTCGCTTCGCCGTCCGCCCCTGCCCCCGCGTCTGTTGCTGCCGCTGTTGTTGATGTTGGTGCCGTCGCTGCTATTGCCGCTGTCCCTGCCGGTGCAGCCGGTGCAGCCGGTGCTGCTGGTGCTGCCAATGCTGCCCCTCAGGGTGCAAGCTCAGAAGCTCTTTTGCGTCCAGCTCCTTTCACCGCGCTACCCGCCGCTCCCACTGCCTCCACTCCTGCCACAGCCGAGCTTGGACTTGGCCTGGGCCTTGGGTTCGCAGCGGGGGGGATGTACTTCTCCTCACTCAGTGCCATAGAGAGCGGAGATGAGGAAAGCGAGTCTGACTACAGCGAGGATGAGAGGGCCCGCCTGACTCCGCCTTTTACTTATGCTGCTTCTCCTGCTGCTGCTGCTGCTCTTTCTCCTCTTCCTCCTCCTGCTGCTGCCCTTCCTCCTCGTCCGCCTGCCAGTCCTGCTGCTCCTGCTCCTGCTCCTGCTGCTGCTGCTGCTGCTGCTGCTGCCGGGGACTCCCCCCCCCCTTTCAAAACGACAACGCCTGCCGCTGCCACCTTGCCAGCGGCTGATTTTACTCCTGCTCCTCCTCCTGCCACCCCTGCTACTCCATCTCACTTCCCCCCTGATTTCCCTCCTGCTGAGCCGCTGTTTGACACACCATCAAGCGCACCACCAGCACCTTCCTTGAACATTCCTCCCCCAGCAGGATTCTCCTCCCCCACCTTCACGTCTCCTCCTGCCACCAAAGCAGCTGCAGGGTCTGCATGCTACTACACGGACTCGGGCGACAGTGACGTGGCTCAGAGTGAGAGTGCTGCTGCTAGTGTGGGTGGTGGTGCTGATGGTGCTGAAGTGAGCTCTGCACTGCAGTAAGCATGTTGTGGGCCGACTTGATCAGCGGCCGCAGGATCCGCGTGGTACTCCACGGACTCGGGTGACAGTGATGTGGCTCAGCGGGAAACTGCTGGTGGGGCTGCTGCTGGTTCTGCTGAAGGGAGCTCTGCACCGCAGTAAGCATGTTGTGAGCCCTTGCTGGATCAGCAGCAGCGGGGTCCGCGTGGTACTAGTTGACGTTTGAGTCCCCGTTACGAGTCTATTTTTGAGGCGCCTCAAAAATGTCACAGTCCGTGTGCTACTACACTGACTCGAGTGATACCCTCGTGATACTTGTGCTGTGGCTCAGAGTAAGAGAGGTGAACAAGTAGCATGCGTGCTACCGAGTAAGAGAGGTGCTGGTGCAGGTGGTCCTGGTGGTGGTGGTGGTGCAGGGAGCACTGCACTGCAGTATTTGTTTCTCTGATAAGTCTCAAAATGGGGGGCACGACGGCAATGGGTATGTTTGGAGAAGTCTGGAAACACAGCAGCCAAACCCACCTAACGTGCACGCACGTAGACAGCAGCAGCAGCAGCACTGCTAGTGCCACTGCGATGCATCCTTCTGGGAGTTTGTTTTGGATGCAACAAGGGAATAAACTGCTACTACCGTTTAGGCTAGTACGGTAGTAAGTACCTAGGTAGGTACTGCTGTGCTGTGATGTAATACGGTAGGCAGAATGAGCATGCCCCTGTGTTCATTGTTTCCAGAATGGTACCAGAATGTTTACTAGTATGTTAGGAAACCTTTCCTTGTACGGCAGATGCCAGCCAGAGCAACTGACAGTTGGGGGGGGAGTGCGAGGGTGAAAGCGGTCATCTAGAATCGAACGTGCATGAGCATGAAATGCGTCAATCACAATAGCGTGGCACAGGGTGGTTGGTATTGTCAGAGTAACGAAGTGAACTCTAGGAAGGCATACACTGAGGTATATGAGTTGGGTGTTGTACTCTCCAAGAGCATGAACCAATCAAGCCTATAACTATACATGCAGTGCATATGTATTGAAAGAATTCGAAAGGTGGTGCAGGAGACTAAGTATAGAATCTGCAGACACAAGTACTTGAAGTAGAAAGTAATACGGGAAGTACCTCCCGTAACAAGTTGTAACACCAGAGTCAGAATTACAGCCTTGCGATACTTCAAGACTTTAACCAAGGATCTTTGCTGGAATGGTAGACTAGTAAGACAGCGGAAGTCTTAGAACTTCTAAAGTGTTGACCATAGTTTACTGAAGAACAAGTTGATAATTGAAGTTGTACATGTCAACTCATACATCTTATGCATGTAGAAGTTATAGGCTAGTATCGGTGTGTGCTCCTAGTGAGTACAACCCAACTGCTATATGTGTCATGTTTTCCCTTCTAGTAACTTATTCACGTATTCTAACATGGTATCGAGTAGGTTAGGTTCACCCTGTCAACTTATACATATTAGCTATGTAGAAGTTATAGGCTAGACTGGGGTATGCTTCCAGTGAGTACAACCAACTAGTATTTGTTCTAGGTTTCTTCTCCTAGTTTATCATTCAGTTCTTACTTTAACACACCCGCCCGCTTCCGCCCGTGCCCTAGTCTCTCGCCCGCCCCTAGCCGGCCCCCTGGCCGTCGCGTCCGCCCCTAGCCGGGCCCCTGGATGTCGCGTCCGCCCCTAGCTGGCCCCCTGGCCGTCGCGTCCGCCCCTAGCTGGCCCCCCTGGCCGTCGCGTTCGCCCCTAGTCGGCCCCTTGGCTGTCGCGTCCGCCCCTAGTCGGCCCCCTGGCCGTCGCGTCCGCCCCTAGCCGGCCCCCTAGCCGTCGCGTCCGCCCCTAGCTGGCCCCTTGGTCGTCGCGTCCGTCCCTAGTCGGCCCCCTCGCCATCGCGTCCGCCCTCAGCTGCCCCCCTAGCCGTCGCGTCCACCCCTAGTCGGCCCCCTGGCCGTCGCGTCCGCCCTTAGCTGGCCCCCTGGCCGTCGCGTCCGCCCTCAGCTGGCCCCCTGGCCGTCGCGTCCGCCCCTAGTCGCCCCCCTGGCCGTCGCGTCCGCCCCTAGCTGGCCCCCTGGCCGTCGCGTCCGCCCTCAGCTGGCCCCCTGGCCGTCGCGTCCGCCCCTAGTCGGCCCCCTGGCCGTCGCGTCCGCCCCTAGCTGGCCCCCCTGGCCGTCGCGATCGCCCCTAGCCGGCCCCCTGGCCGTCGCGTCCGCCCCTAGCTGACCCCTTGGACGTCGCGTCCGCCCCTAGCCGGCCCCCTGGCCGTCACGTCCGCCCCCAGCCGGCCCCCTAGCCGTTTGCGCCCGCTCCTAGCCAGCCCCATGGCCGTTCGCGCCCGCCCCTAGCTGGTCCCACTGGCCGTCGCACCCGCTCCTAGCTGGCCCCCCCTGGCCCCACGCACCCGCTCCTGGCCGGCCCACTGACCGTCGAGCCCGCTCCTAACCGGCCCCTGCAGCGCCCGCCCGGCCCCTCCTCGCGCCCGCCCGGCCCCCCAGTCGCGCCTGCCCGGCCGCCCCACACGCGCTAGGCCCCTCCTAGCGCCCGCCCTGTCCCAGTGCGACCGCCCGGCCCCTCCTCCTGCCCGCTCGGCCCCTCCTCGTGCCTGCTTGGCCTGCCGTGCCACCTCGGGCCCGGTGTCCTCTGCTAGCCCGCGCTGGGGCGCCCCTGCAGCCGCCCTACTGGAGAGTGCTGCCGCCGTGTTTCCGTGCCGCTGTGCTCCTGCCAAGCTGTGGAGCTGTGCCGCTGTGTCGCTGAGGAGCTGTGTCGCTGACCCTGCACGATGGCTGACTTCGTGCTCCGCCTGGACGCTGAGGGCCACGCGGTTGACTTCGCCGCCTGGCTCTCCGATCTCCGCCGTCAGCTTACAGGTCAGCGCCAGGATGGACACTCGCTGGTTGTCCATGCCGATGGCTTACTCCCCCGCCCCCCTGCACCTGCTCCCCTCCCTGTTGACCCCACCTCTGCTGAGAGTGAGGCTTTATCTATTGCTGCGCTTGCCTATGCGGTCTGGAACTCACGCGATGCAGTAGCTCAGGTTGCTATCAGTCACGCCCTCCCTGTGTCTGAGCGCTCGCGTTTCGCTACGGTTGATACGGCCAAAGCTTATTTAGATGCTCCTATTGCTCGCTATTCCATACCTGCATCCGCTGCTGCCGGCCGCCTGCTCTTCCCGATGCTGTTCCCAGACCTTGCTGCCTTCCCTACTGTCGCAGACTTTGCCACTCACTTGCGTGCCCTAGAGACTCGCTATCGCACTGCCAGCACTGCTGCTCAGCTCACTGCGCTCCCCCCCCCATTCTGCATGACCCTCTATTTTATCGCCATGCGCCTGCCGGACCGCCTAGCTAGTGCCCGCGACCGCTTCCTTTGCCAGCACCCGGGTGACCTCACACTGACCGCCTTTGTCGACACCCTCACCGAGATCGAGACGCGCCAGCGCACTATCGCTCAGTCGAGCGGTGCGCCGGCAGTCTCTATCTTTCACGGCTGTGCCCCCTCCCAGTGCACGTTTACTGCCGTTTCGGCTGCGTTCGCCACTGCGACCCCTCTTACCGAGACGGCTGCTGCGGTCCACCCGCAGTAGCGTCCGCGCCGCGGTGGCCGTGGCCGCCAGGGAGGTCGTGGTGGTGGCACTGGTGGTGGTGGTGACGGTAGTCCACCTGAGGGGACTACCACTGGTGGGCCGGAGCAGACGCAGTCGCCTTCACAGCCAGAGCAGCCCCAGCAGCAGCCGCCGCTGTCCCAGCAGCAGCCGTCGCAGCCGTGGGCTCGTCTCCCACCTGGTTGGCCCGGCACCTCGGGCGGTGGTGGCCGAGGTGGTGGCTCGCGCAGCTTGGCGTCTACCGGCAGCTCCGGTGCTATGACCTGCCAGTACCAGCTTCAGACCGGGCCTCTCCGCGGCACCCTGTGCCGCCGCCCGCACCCGACCGCCCGCTGATTTCGCCGCCTCAACGATCTCTTTCGTTGTCGCTTTGGCCCGGCTCCGAACCTCCCCGACTGGCACAGCTTGCTTCGCCAGGGCGTGCCGATCTTTGAGTTAGATATGGATCAGATAGGTGCTGCTTTGCATGCGTTGCATGCTGACGCTTCTAGTGTTGCTGGATCTTATTACCCTACGTACTCTAGTTTAGGTGTCTCACCCTTGTGTAGCTTAGCCTTCCCTGCTACGTAAGGCGTAGGACTGCCTAGTTTGCCTAGCCTAGGTTCTGCACCGGCCCCGTTCCCAGCCTCCGCCACTGCCTCGCTGTCCTTCACTCTCGACTGTGGTGCTTCTGCCCGTTTCTTCCGCGACCGCTCCACGCTCGCACCGCTTGCTGCGCCTGCTGTTGTCGCACTCGCCGACCCCTCTGCTGGTCCTATCGTCGCTCGTAGCTCCACTTCCCTTCCCTGTCCCGCCGTTCCCTCCGGCTCCCATACAGGCCTCCACGTTCCCTCGTTCTCCAGGAACCTGGTTGGTGTCGGCTGTCTTCAGGACCTCGGCGTCACCACCACGTTCCCTGGGCACGAGCGGTTTGCTGTCTGTACCGAGGCTGCCACAGGTTCCCCCCTTACGACGTTCCCCCGGGACCCGGTGTCCGGTCTTTTTACCCTCGACACCACTCCCCCTCTGGTTGGTGCGTCCTCTCAGGCCGCTGCAGCTTGCTCGTGTCGGTCTCTCACTCACCCGTCCCTTTTGTGGCACCACCGCCTAGGTCACCCTGCACTCCCGCGTCTGCGTCACATGTCCCAGCACGGTCTTGTCTTAGGCCTCCCCTCGTCGCTCCCCACCCTTCCCCTCTTGCCTGCTCCACCGTGCACGCCCTGCGTTGAGGGCCGGATCCGCCATGCCCCTCATTCCTCCTCGCTTCGCCCTGCTACTGCTCCCCTTCAGACCCTGCACCTGGTTGTTTGGGGCCCAGCCCCCGTCCCCGGACCGCGTGGCGAGCGCTACTTTCTTGTGCTCGTCGACGACTACACGCGCTACACCACGGTGTTTCCCCTGGAGCGGAAGGCCGACGTGCCCGACGTTCTTCTCCCATGGGTTGTGGCTGCGCGTCTTCACCGCGATCTCCCCGTGTTGTGTCTCCACTCTGGCCGTGGCGGCGAGTTCGCTTCTAGTCGGCTTGGACAGTTCTGTCGTGCGGAGGGCATCACCCAGTCGTACACCTTGCCGAACTCGCCATAGCAGAGTGGGGTTGCTGAGCGCCGCATCAGCTTGGTCATGGAGGTGGCTCGTACCTCCATGATCCATGCCGGTGCACCCCACTTTCTGTGGCCGTTCGCCGTTCGCTACGCCGCTCACCAGCTTAACTTGTGGCCACGCTCCCAGCGGCCGCAGGTTACGCCGACCCTCCTTTGGACCGGGTCCCCCGGTGACGCATCTGCGTTCCACGTCTGGGGCTGCCTTGCTCACGTTCGTGCCTCTGGCACGGACAAGCTCACCGCCCGCACTGTCCCCTGTGTCTTCCTTGGTTTCCCCCTAGACTCGTCTGACTGGCTCTTCTACCACCCGCAGTCTCACCGCTTCCTCCACTCTCGTGACGTCACCTTTGACGAGTCCGTCTCCTTCTACCGTCGCTTCCCTCACCGAGGTCTCCCGGTTTCCCCCCCCCTGTTCCTTGCCCCCTCTCCCCCGGTAGCCCCTCCTCCCCTCCTGCCTCGTCCTGCCCCGTCTAGGGTCTCCCATGTCACTCCCCTCCCGTCAGTTGTCCCTGTTGAGGAGTCTGCTGACTCTGGTGGTCCCCCCGCCCCGTCTTTGCCGCGTCCCCGTT